ATGACGTCATACCAAAACATGCCGTGCTACCCTTCGGCTATGGACCCAGGAATTGTATTGGACGTCGATTTGCTGAACAGGAGCTTTATCTCGCTACTGTCAAGGTAAGGGCATAGACTTTCATGACGTTCAAGTGTAAACTTCATTTCACAAGTAAATGTCCTGATATAAGACTACAATCTGCAGGTCCTACAGAAGTTAAAGATTGGCCTTTCAGGAGTTCGCCATACAAAGTTTGTACATAGGATATTCTTGCAACCATCGGCACCAGTTAACTTTACATTCATCAGGAGATTGTGACACCTCACCAGGCTACATTCAACAGGAGATTGTGACACCTCACCAGGCTACATTCAACAAACAGGATATTGTGACACCTCGCCAGGCTACATTTAACAGGAGATTGTGACACCTCGCCAGGCTACATTCAACAGGAGATTGTGACACCTCGCCAGGCTACATTTAACAGGAGATTGTGACACCTCACCAGGCTACATTCAACAGGAGATTGTAACACCTCGCCAGGCTACATTTAACAGGAGATTGTGACACCTCACCAGGCTACATTCAACAGGAGATTGTGACACCTCACCAGACTACATTCAACAGGAGATTGTGACACCTCACCAGGCTAACTTTACATTCAGCAGGAGATTGTGACACCTTTCCAGGCTAATTCAACAGGAGATTGTGACACCTCACCAGACTACATTCAACAGGAGATTGTGACACCTCACCAGGCTAACTTTACATTCAACAGGAGATTGTGACACCTCACCAGGCTAACTTTACATTCAACAGGAGATTGTGACACCTCACCAGGCTAACTTTACATTCAACAGGAGATTGTGACACCTCACCAGGCTACATTCAACAGGAGATTGTGACACCTCACCAGACTACATTCAACAGGAGATTGTGACACCTCACCAGGCTACATTCAACAGCAGATTGTGACACCTCACCAGGCTACATTAAACAGGAGATTGTGACACCTCACCAGACTACATTCAACAGGAGATTGTGACACCTCACCAGGCTACATTCAACAGGAGATTGTGACACCTCACCAGGCTACATTCAACAGGAGATTGTGACACCTCACCAGGCTACATTCAACAGCAGATTGTGACACCTCACCAGGCTACATTCAACAGGAGATTGTGACACCTCACCAGGCTACATTCAACAGTAGATTGTGACACCTCACCAGGCTAACTTTACATTCAACAGGAGATTGTGACACCTCACCAGGCTAACTTTACATTCAACAGGAGATTGTGACACCTCACCAGGCTATCCCTACATTCAACAGGAGATTGTGACACCTCACCAGGCTACATTCAACAGGAGATTGTGACACCTCACCAGGCTACATTCAACAGCAGATTGTGACACCTCACCAGGCTACATTCAACAGGAGATTGTGACACCTCACCAGGCTATCCCTACATTCAACAGGAGATTGTGACACCTCACCAGGCTACATTCAACAGGAGATTGTGACACCTCACCAGGCTAGCTTTACATTCAGCAGGAGATTGTGACACCTCACCAGGCTACATTCAACAGGAGATTGTGACACCTCACCAGGCTAACTTTACATTCAGCAGGAGATTGTGACACCTCACCAGGCTAACTTTACATTCAGCAGGAGATTGTGACACCTCTCCAGGCTAATTCAATAGGAGATTGTGACACCTCACCAGGCTACATTCAACAGGAGATTGTGACACCTCACCAGGCTAACTTTACATTCAACAGGAGATTGTGACACCTCACCAGGCTAACGTTACATTCAGCAGGAGATTGTGACACCTCACCAGGCTACATTCAACAGGAGATTGTGACACCTCACCAGGCTACATTCAACAGGAGATTGTGACACCTCACCAGGCTAACTTTACATTCAACAGGAGATTGTGACACCTCACCAGGCTAACGTTACATTCAGCAGGAGATTGTGACACCTCACCAGGCTACATTCAACAGGAGATTGTGACACCTCACCAGGCTACATTCAACAGGAGATTGTGACACCTCACCAGGCTAACTTTACATTCAACAGGAGATTGTGACACCTCACCAGGCTAACTTTACATTCAACAGGAGATTGTGACACCTCACCAGGCTAACTTTACATTCAACAGGAGATTGTGACACCTCACCAGGCTAACTTTACATTCAACAGGAGATTGTGACACCTCACCAGGCTAACTTTACATTCAACAGGAGATTGTGACACCTCACCAGGCTACATTCAACAGAAGATTGTGACACCTCACCAGGCTACATTCAACAGGAGATTGTGACACCTCACCAGGCTACATTCAACAGAAGATTGTGACACCTCACCACGCTAATTTTACATTCAACAGGAGATTGTGACACCTCACCAGGCTACATTCAACAGAAGATTGTGACACCTCACCAGGCTAATTTTACATTCAACAGGAGATTGTGACACCTCACCATGCTATATTCAACAGGTGATTGTGACACCTCACCAGGTTAACTTTACATTCAACAGGAGATTGTGACACCTCACCAGGCTAACTTTACATTCAACAGGAGATTGTGACACCTCACCAGGCTACATTCAACAGGAGATTGTGACACCTCACCAGGCTACATTCAACAGGAGATTGTGACACCTCACCAGGCTAACTTTACATTCAGCAGGAGATTGTGACACCTCACCAGACTACATTCAACAGAAGATTGTGACACCTCACCAGGCTAATTTTACATTCAACAGGAGATTGTGACACCTCACCATGCTATATTCAACAGGTGATTGTGACACCTCACCAGGTTAACTTTACATTCAACAGGAGATTGTGACACCTCACCAGGCTAACTTTACATTCAACAGGAGATTGTGACACCTCACCAGGCTACATTCAACAGGAGATTGTGACACCTCACCAGGCTACATTCAACAGTAGATTGTGACACCTCACCAGGCTACATTCAACAGGAGATTGTGACACCTCACCAGGCTACATTCAACAGGAGATTGTGACACCTCACCAGGCTACATTCAACAGTAGATTGTGACACCTCACCAGGCTACATTCAACAGGAGATTGTGACACCTCACCAGGCTATATTCAACAGGAGATTGTGACACCTCACCAGGCTACATTCAACAGGAGATTGTGACACCTCACCAGGCTAACTTTACATTCAACAGGAGATTGTGACACCTCACCAGGCTACATTCAACAGGAGATTGTGACACCTCACCAGGCTAACTTTACATTCAACAGGAGATTGTGACACCTCACCAGGCTACATTCAACAGGAGATTGTGACACCTCACCAGGCTACATTCAACAGCAGATTGTGACACCTCACCAGGCTACATTCAACAGGAGATTGTGACACCTCACCAGGCTACATTCAACAGGAGATTGTGACACCTCACCAGGCTAACTTTACATTCAACAGGAGATTGTGACACCTCACCAGGCTAACTTTACATTCAACAGGAGATTGTGACACCTCACCAGGCTAACTTTACATTCAGCAGGAGATTGTGACACCTCACCAGGCTACATTCAACAGTAGATTGTGACACCTCACCAGGCTACATTCAACAGGAGATTGTGACACCTCACCAGGCTATCCCTACATTCAACAGGAGATTGTGACACCTCACCAGGCTACATTCAACAGGAGATTGTGACACCTCACCAGGCTACATTCAACAGGAGATTGTGACACCTCACCAGGCTACATTCAACAGTAGATTGTGACACCTCACCAGGCTACATTCAACAGGAGATTGTGACACCTCACCAGGCTACATTCAACAGGAGATTGTGACACCTCACCAGGCTACATTCAACAGTAGATTGTGACACCTCACCAGGCTACATTCAACAGGAGATTGTGACACCTCACCAGGCTATATTCAACAGGAGATTGTGACACCTCACCAGGCTACATTCAACAGGAGATTGTGACACCTCACCAGGCTAACTTTACATTCAACAGGAGATTGTGACACCTCACCAGGCTACATTCAACAGGAGATTGTGACACCTCACCAGGCTAACTTTACATTCAACAGGAGATTGTGACACCTCACCAGGCTACATTCAACAGCAGATTGTGACACCTCACCAGGCTACATTCAACAGGAGATTGTGACACCTCACCAGACTACATTCAACAGGAGATTGTGACACCTCACCAGGCTACATTCAACAGCAGATTGTGACACCTCACCAGGCTACATTCAACAGAAGATTGTGACACCTCACCAGGCTACATTCAACAGTAGATTGTGACACCTCACCAGGCTACATTCAACAGGAGATTGTGACACCTCACCAGGCTACATTCAACAGGAGATTGTGACACCTCACCAGGCTACATTCAACAGTAGATTGTGACACCTCACCAGGCTACATTCAACAGGAGATTGTGACACCTCACCAGGCTACATTCAACAGGAGATTGTGACACCTCACCAGGCTACATTCAACAGGAGATTGTGACACCTCACCAGGCTAACTTTACATTCAGCAGGAGATTGTGACACCTCACCAGGCTAATTTTACATTCAGCAGGAGATTGTGACACCTCACCAGGCTACATTCAACAGGAAATTGTGACACCTCACCAGGCTAATTTTACATTCAACAGGAGATTGTGACACCTCACCAGGCTAACTTTACATTCAGCAGGAGATTGTGACACCTCACCAGGCTACATTCAACAGTAGATTGTGACACCTCACCAGGCTACATTCAACAGGAGATTGTGACACCTCACCAGGCTATCCCTACATTCAACAGGAGATTGTGACACCTCACCAGGCTACATTCAACAGGAGATTGTGGCACCTCACCAGGCTAACTTTACATTCAACAGGAGATTGTGACACCTCACCAGGTTAACTTTACATTCAACAGGAGATTGTGAAATTCAGCAGGGGAGGGGAGTGCGATAAATAACAGTAATTAACGTTACATTCAACAAGAGATTGTGACTTGTTACATACAATGTATTTTCATACACAGATTGTGACAGCTAATAGACTATTCATTGCAAAAAGTATTGTATTTTGACTGAATATGCGCAATAATAAATACAATTCTTATAATATTGAATAACTACAAGTATAGATATTTGATTTTTTAATTATATTTGTCGGCAGAACAGTCCTTTTTTGTCACTGGTAAGGCAGTTCGGCATGGCTTGTGGCCCCAAGTAAAAATCCTGTTTGTTATCTTGAGAGGATAGTCCTTTTTCTTGTCTCTAGTACGACAGTCCTATTTGTTGTCCATATAAGGACAGTCCTATTTCTTGTCTCTAGTAGGACAGTCCTGTAAGTGACCCCTGGTTATAGTCCTACGATGTCCGTATCTCAAAAAGTTAAAAGGGACATAACTCATGTTCTATCCACACGGATAAATCCTCTTAAATCTTGTACAATCAGAGAACACGACATCGCACTTTCATGCCGTGCTTGCGACAAATATCAATTATCCATCTTTGATATTACTTTAAATTTTAATATTATGTATCGAAATTAAAAACAATATTTTGTAATTTAAACAAAATAGAGAAGCACTTGACGCGGTTAATGTTATCGAAGATGTTAGTATACAATCAATTTAGTGGATCAACATTTTGTAGTCAATGTCTAGTTGAGTAAATCAACATTTTGTAATCATTGTCTAGTTGAGTAAATCAACATTTTGTAGTCAATGTCTAGTTGAGTGAATCAACATTTTTCAGTCAATGTCTAGTTGAGTAAATCAACAACTTGTAGTCATTGACTAGTTAAGTAAATCAACAATTTGTAGTCATTGTGTAGTTAAGTAAATCAACAATTTGTAGTCATTGTGTAGTTAAGTAAATCAACAATTTGTAGACATTGTGTAGTTAAGTAAATCAACAATTTGTAGTCATTGTCTAGTTAAGTAAATCAACAATTTGTAGACATTGTGTAGTTAAGTAAAGTATAGTAGTCAGTTGATAGAAAGATTGATCAAAGGTTTTGAAATCAGTGCATAGTACTGTAAAACAATTGAATTATGCAGTATACAATTGTTGAACCAAAATGGCTTAGTCGCAGTCTAGTTGTTGAGCCAAAATAGTTTAGTCAGTTTCTAGTTGAAAGTGCTGATCTTCGAAAATTTAAACTTGATTGGGGTCGTTGGGTGTACGAAAAGTTTGTACACAAACTCCGTGTCACGTGACGAATCGTCGACATCGATCTTCAGTTTCTGTAGAACCTGTAGGTGGAAGAGAGTATGTGATGATGTGGGTGGAGTAGAGTATGTGATGATGTGGGTGGAGTAGAGTATGCGATGATGTGTGTGGAGTAGAGAATCGGATGATGCAGATAGAGTAGATAATGAGATTAGTGTTAAATATGTCTACCTTAGAAGTGGCCAGATAAATTTCCTGCACAGCGAAACGTCTCCCAATACAATTTCGGGGTCCGAATCCAAAGGGCAATACGACCATACTGTGTATGTCGTCATGTCTCTTGCCTGATTCCGTCCTCATCCATCTCTCTGGAATAAACTTGTCTGGATTTTCACCCGCATGTCTGCAGGCTTCAAGGTTACTCAGTAACAGAGGAGTCTAGTTAAAAATTAATTACACATTGTAAAATGAGAAAGTAAATAATTTAAATGATTGCACACAGTACAATCTTTCAGCACATATTTTACAATAGATTTCAATTTTTAGATATTATGAGGGAACTTAAAGTAATATATACGAAAAAGAAATAAATTCAAACATCTAGAAGCGGGATGAGCTAGGATGTGGGAGTAGATCAGGACCTAAAATCGTATCAAGAAGACCTGGTGTGCCTTCAACTCACACGTCACACGTCACACGTCACACGTCACACGTCACACGTCACACGTCATACGTCGCACGTCGCACGTCTCACGTCACACGTCACACGTCACACGTCACACGTCACACGTCACACGTCGCACGTCGCACGTCACACGTCACACGTCACACGTCACACGTCACACGTCACACGTCACACGTCACACGTCACACGTCACACGTCACACGTCACACGTCACACGTCACACGTCACACGTCCGATATGGAACTACACAGCCTTGCCATTCCAGACCAGGATAATAATCTTAAACAAAATGTTCAGTCAGTATTGTTTTACGGTTCTTTACGACAGATCCTTAAGAGAAGATGGCCAGACCAAATATCCTGTGGCACAACACATCGCTTGGAAAGTTTTAGACTAGAATCTTCTATCAAGAAGGAAAGTAAGCCGGCCAAAGAAATCATGGCCCGGCTTACAAATATAAGAGAGACGCTCAAAACCAAGCCCTATGGACAGTTGTAGATGTAGCCCATTGCTACACAGGGGTCACACAGAAAAAAGTCAAAGCAATAAATATAAATAATGGCATTTCATTTCTATAAGGATTGTTCTAGACTAAAATCATAATGGAAATATGGCGGTGGATTTCATGTATGGTTACCTTGTGACCATGTGAAATTAATATTATGTGTTTGCCTTGTGACCATGTTTGATTGCAATGTGATTTGGTAGAAACATGATGTGTTTACCTTGTAACCATACGTGATTGCTATGTGATTTGGTAGAAACATTATGTGATTTGCTCACCCCAGCAGGAACCTTGTAGCCACTAAGGACAACATCAGTTGGCAAAATGCGCATAGTGCCGCCTGGTGTTGGGTAGTACAGCCTGCAATATATAATACAAACATGTTACAGCACATTAATGATTCACCTAAACAATACGAATTAGGTCTTCTGTTCAAATGATCTATTTAGCTGCAATAATGCCTGAAACAGGCATATATTTAACTATAGTATTCAGTTCAAATGTTCCTCAACTAAATAGAAGACCAAAACAAACCTACATCTAACTATAGCAGGGGTCGGCAACCTGCGGCTCGCGAGCCGCATGCGGCTCTTTCGATGTCAAGATGCGGCTCTCCAGCTCAGTGAACAAATATTAAGTTATATTATTTCATTTTCAAAACTCATATAAAAAATTATACTGTAAAGAAACACAAGTTTCAACAGAAGAAAAAAATAACTCATCAAAGAACAGAGAGAATATGTGCAGTAGAAAGTTAACGAACAGCTGACAGCCGCTTGGGCACCAGGCCCAGCCCAACTGCCGTGCTGTAGCCAGCCCCGTGGCGACTATTACATTTTTGCCACTAGCCAAGTGCCGACTTTTTCGAATATCGTTAAATGGAGAATGTTATTTTATCCAGAATGCATATCCCTATATGTCAGTAATAATTAATTTGACTTGAGAGACGTAGTTTTTTAGTTATTAGCTCCCTACTGTTGAGCCGGGTACGAGTTTACCTTGGGTACAGTGGGAAGGAAGATAAGCCTGGTGAGAACCAAAGGACAGATGCGACAAATACACGGTAATCAAACCGATATTCAAGCCAGTTAGATTGAGTTTGCCGTGTTGAGGCCAGCCTGGCTAATTGGAGACACACCCTGAGCCGGTGATGACCGTATAGAGAAAAAAAGTCAATTGCTTCTCAAGTGGAATGTTATAATCCTATATTTTTGTTTTTTAATTATTAATTTCATTATTCTGGCGAAATAAGTGTATGTTTTTATGAGAACAAATATTATTTCATATTTAAAGATATTTATTTTAAATAACAAATCAAATGTACTTACCTAACCATAATCAAATAATAAAATATTGAAAAAAAATGTTAGTGGCTCTTTAAAAACTGGGAAATGTTGAAAATTGTAACGTAAGGCTCTTCTCTCTCAAAAGGTTTCTGACCCCTGAACTATAGTGTTCAGTTCAAATATTCCTCACCTAAATAGATGACTGAAACAGGCCTTATTGTAACCCCCATGTTTAATGTCCTACTCACCTGAACGATTCGTTTAAACAGGCTTTAAGATATGGCATCTTAGACAAGGCTTGAGCATCCACCGGTTTGTCTGTGCCCACGACACTCAGAACCTCTCGTCTTAGAGTTTCCTGTTTGTCTGGATTCTTGGCCAAGTTGTAGAAGAGAACTTATAGGTTCCTCGCTGTCTGTGGACGTAGTCGAGTGCTAAGATAAAGTTTAGCTGTTTTGTGAGAGTTTATCGAAATCTGGCTCTTTTGTTCCCATGACAAAAGTTATATATATTTTTTTTGGAAACTCCCTTTATAAAAATCGTCTGATTTTGTGTTTGATAAGAAATAAATGGATAGAAGATCCAGAAAATCCCCGACACTAAGGCAAAAAATGTCCACATGAAAAGCTACGCCCCGTCACTTATAGATAGCTCCAATTTATTAGATGCATGCAACCTTGACCTACTTCTGATGTCTACACTTTTAAATATTTAAAACACGCTATAAAAAGAAATCCTTATCCGCCCTTAGGTTTAGGGCTTGGGTTGGATTCGGGTTGAAGTAAGGTTAGGGTTGGTGTCGGGTTAGGGATAAAAACTAAAAGTACACGTCTTAACCTCTTTTGAAATTCTATTTTGGGCTGCGGGCTTAGCTTCTTGGTGGGCCTTGTCGGGTAAAGATCCTTGATTGCTTGTTCTGTAACGTAATCAATAGACTAACAAGGATTAAATCCTATCATGTCAGTCTCACCGAATCAGTTCCTGCCATATAAAGACCTTCTGTTATGTTGCAGATATCTCTCTCATCCATGATGTTTTCTGAGGTCAGAGAGAGAAGAAAGTTTGGCTCTTCTGGGTCTAGAGTACCGGCCCTTTGCTTGTCTTCTACAGCTTTCTTAGCCCTAAGGATGTGTTGAGCTGAGTTTCTGAAAAACGATCAAGCAACTGAATGACTAAAATGAATTAATTTTGACGTTTAAATGCTCGACATTGTAAAATATCTTAAAATAATACATAAACTATTATCAAAGAAGATCCAGACTTTTTGAGAATGTTGTAGGCTCTCTCATAGTCTCTATATGTTTTGTTCCGAAACCATTTGTGTAGAACGGAAGTGCCATTAAATGAATGAAGCAAGAGCACCAAGATATCTTTTGTGGCTTGAAGAAATTCAACGGCTTTTGCGTCGTCCGATCCAGATTTGTTAAGGAAACCAAGTCTCGCATTGAAGCATACGACTCCAATACCTGCAAGAGTAAAATACAAACATTGATTGTTTAGAGTTTAGATTTCCATCGACTTTAAAAAATACAACTCTGTAACCACATATAAAGCCGGGGGCTGGGTGTGTGTGTGTTTGTGTGTGTGGTGATGGTGAGGGGAGGTAAGGGGGGGGTCTGCGGTAATCATTTTTAGGAAATAGAAATTTAGCCCAGTTTTGTTTAAAAGGCAGCTTTAGCACAGTGTGAAATTCATTCAGTCCTTCTGTCATCGCTATAGATTTTAGAACCATAAAAGTAAACATACCACCTGTCGAAATTTTTACTTGCATCGCAGTGACTTATTATTAATAATTGGGTATGGTTTATTTAAATAACGACTAAAAATGTGTGTATAGTTGGCGCATTGTGTTTTCTTTTGTTTTTTCTTTTGTGCTTGCGTGTTGGGTTTGTGTTTTTATTTAAGTTTTTTTGCGTTTGCATTGTGTTTGCGTTGTGTTTGTGTTTTCTTTTGTTTTTTATATTTCCGTTTTCTTTTTGTGTTTGTGCTGTGTTTGTGTTTGTGTTTGTGTTTAGGTTTGTTTTGTTCCCAAGTTGGTACATTTAAAAAAGATTCACCGTGGTGGAGCAGCTAGTATTTTATAATGCTACTAAACATAAATAAATTACAATATAAATTGTAAGATATGTGCATACTTTCTGCAGCGAACCGGAAAAAGTAGTCCTGCATCTCTTCACCGTCCATCTCTTGAGTGGACAGGATGTGAACAAATTCATCCGCGACTTGGTTCTGTGGGGCGAGGTAGTGGTGTGCTGAGTCGGCTTTCATCAGACGTTTGTTGGCCGGTGTCCGCACTTTGTACCACTCTTCTCCGTTCCTTCAACACCCAAAGTTTTTTGTTTATAACATTAGAGATTTAAAAATCCAAATTTTTATTTTTAAACAGAAGAACATTTACATTTCGTTTTATCAGTTAAGCATTTTAAAAATTGTTTTCAACAGTAGACCATTTTAAAAATTAATTTTCAGCATTTTAAAAAATAAAATTGTTTTTTTAACAGAAGAACATTTTAAAATTGATATTAAACAATGCATTGTGTCTTTTTAAACAATCCTAAACAATAAAAACACAATAGCCCTAACACGAGGTTATTCGATGTTATTGTTAATCTGAACTTTTCTAAAACACCCATTGTGATTGTAAAAACAGAAAAACCTAAACACGTCGATGCAGTCTATGCTCAGTTTTGATTCTTATTAAATTTGGTTTATTTAACAACGTCAGGAACCGACATCTCAACACACATTCAAAATATACTTCTTGCATTTTAAAAAAACTTTTTTTTTTTGTCGTTAGGATTATAGCACTATAGTTATAGGCCTTCCAATAGCTGAACTATTTATTGAGTTTGTTAAGCATCAAACCGATCATGGGTTAAACATGTCTAGTTTGTTTAGATGAGATTCAGTTTTTTTGTATTTTTGTGTTTCCAGAAATACAATTCTTGTCATTTTAGGAAGCGTCGCTTTAGGCAACCATTTTCCGAACAGAAAGTGATCACACGGGAGGCGGGCGTGTTAAAGGTTTATAAAATGCCATACTTTGACCGCCTTTGATGGATACATAAAGATCACTTAACAAACAGAAACAAAAGTCGCCAGAAAAAAAATTAATTGACTAGTTATGCCGAACATTACAAATTTTCCAGAATTCAATACATGTATTTTTTAAACCAATTGCATTGTCATAAGCGAACGCTGGTACGGACTGTGTTGTCTTAAGGAGCATGGGCTTTAAGTAAAAAAATATCTGGGTATGGGGTGAGGATAGCTTCTAAACTATGAGTTGTGCACATGTTTCAGATTTAGAAAGAATAAGAAAAAGCTTCTGATTCAAACATTAAAACACGGGTCGGCGTGGTGGAGTCGGTAAAGCTCATGGTTCGAACCCTCGGGCAGATGAGGCTCGTTAGCTGGGGACAGCCACTCTTCTAGGAGAGACAACTCCAAAATCAAACAACTGCTGCCTTGTAGTTTGTTCTTGGTTGGACAAAGGCTATGGAAGCAAATCAAAAAGAAAAGCAGGCTGAAATCGGAGTCAATGGCCGCAATGGCGCAAAACCAGTTGACACGTAACGCTTAATTGTGAAGCATGGTTGAGTCGGCAAAGCTCATGGTTGATTCGAAAAAAAAGTCTCGAGTTCAATCCCTCTGGAAGATAAGGCTCGATCCCTTCCAACACTAAAAATTAAGAACGAAGAAGAAGAAGAAGAAGAAACATTAAAACAATCATGTGTTTTCTTGTAAAAACCAACAATTACGTGTAAGGTTAAGTTTACTACAGTTCATACCAGAAAATATGAGGGACCCTATAAATCGGGCTCACCTGGCTTCTGCCTTCTCAGCCCCCCCCCCCCCCCCCACCCTTTTATCCGATATAGCCTGGAGAAGTTTTAAAGTACATGAAAACGATGGTAAACTGTACTCTAAAATTTTGCATATTGAATAATATAACCAGATCTATATGTAACACGCGTATTAAAGTTAGATTACATTTTAGAAGTTATCTTACAAGTTTCGTATAATTTAGTTTTTACATTAATATGAAATATATATGTAACTGGGGTAGGCCTAACTACCAGTTACAAATGATAACGAACGAGAAGCCGAGACACAGTGTTGGTCTGATGCAACCGATAACAGGTGGCTTATTGGGTCGGGCTGATAACAACCTCAAAGCCGGCGCGTGCTATTTTGGGAAACGGTATTCAGACGGCCTGTCAACTTTGATGGATAGGACGCAGATGTTATTTTACGGTCTGTACGTTTGAACTACGCAACTGGTGGTCGGAGATCGAGTACAAGTATCGATTACGGAGGAATACAAGTACGGAGACGAGTACGATTATGAAGGGGATATATATATGGGAAGGCGACGGCTGGTTCGGGCAGACTGGAAGACAGACTCTCTCTTCCCGTTTCAGCGAGCTCTCTTCCATCTTCATCGCTCGCTTAGATCAGTCAGTCTGTGTGACTATGTCAAGTCGGTTATAGAACGGGTTAGCCGTATTGTGTTAAGGAGGATTATAGACATGTGGATTCAGTTATATGAAGCCTAGTGAAGGACTGTTAGGGGTCAGTTGATTCAGACTATTATTGAGAAGCATTCCTGTTGATTTATTGTGTTATTATGAAGCATTTCTTGATTCATGTAATAAAGGATCAATAGCGAACCTGCATCTTGAGTATCTATACTGTGGTCAATGTTGTCTAGAATGAGTGGTTAAACTCGTTAACACGTGGCACTACAGGCAATTAGGTCTCATTACATGTGGCGTTGCGAGCATGGTAACTGTTGGCTCGTTACAATTGGCGTTGTCGGCAGGATAAATGTTCGCTCGTCACAATTGGCGCTGCGATCAGGATGAATTCAACTAGACTTGCCGTTTAAGGCACCTATAGTCAACCTTGTGCATAACTGTGTTTAGTGTGTGTGTGAATTCGGACATTCAGGAACTGTGAAAATTGAGGAACGAGGAAAAATTTTTCATACACACACGGTAAGAAAGAACTCTCTTTTTTTTAGTACTTAAGGAAGAAAATGTCTACTCTGGACGAGAAGCAGACCCATATAGTGGTCCTACCCAGAGAGTCCCATATTAACAAATTTTACGGGGACGGAGACCCAACTTTAACCAACAGGTTCAGTGAAGAGGTCAAAGCGGCCTGGGCCTCGAGACATATGTCACCAGAGGAAAGATTAAGACTGCTGATGGGCAGTATAGGTGAAACGGTTAGGGCAGAGGTTAAGTGCCACGATAGGACCGTCCAATCAGATCCAGATAAGGTGCTAGATCTGATTATGGAGACCTTTGGGGAGAGACGGTCGGGAGTGCAACTGCTATCGGGATTCGTGGGCTTAAAGCAGAGAATGGCGGAGAGTGTGATGGAGTACTCACACAGGATGAACAGGGCCTTTGATTTGGTAAAGGGCAAATCACCGGACATTGATGTACGCCTACTGAGGGACCAGTTCATCGAGGGGCTAGCAACCCCGATCTTAAGGAGAGAGTTGAAGGAGGAGGTCCACAGAGACCAGCAGTTGACCTTCCTTCAGGTCAGGAACTCAGCGATCCGCAGGTCCGAGGATGAGGACCAATCGAACTGTTCGGTGGACAAAGTCTCTGTGCCTGAACAGAGACAATCCCCACCCACAGGGGCCGACACGATGGAGACCATGATGGCTCAACTGTTGGCCCACCTAGAGAAGGTTGACCAACGCTTGAAGTGGTTGGAAAGCAGGTCAACAGCTGAGAATCAGGAAAAGAACGGTACAAAACAGGGACGGGTTGGACGGCCGCGTCCTGCCAAGCCATCACTCCAATGGACGGCAGACGGTCGACCAATTTGTTTGTCTTGTTCACAAACCGGACATATGGCACGGTATTGTCCGGTGAAACGATCGCCCTCTGTAAGGCAGGTCAAGGCTACAGAGCGGCGAGGTTATGGCGTAAGAAACAAAAGGAAACAAACAATGAAAGAGTCTCAAACAAGACTCGAAGGGCAATTATCAGATAGTGGAAAAATGAACTGTGAAATGAACTTGAATGTTGAAAAGTTTCAAGTGAACAATTTGTTGGCTAAGAAAAATGATGATAAGGAAGAAATTGGTAGACTTAAGAATGAGATCTCAATGTTAACCAGGAAACTGGATAGGGAAAGTTCATGCAAATTAAAAGCACAGGAGAAATGTTCATCTTTAGAGCGTCTGTTATCGGAAGAAGTAAATAAAAATAGTAGACAACAGAACAGTGTTGGCAAACTAGAAAAATTATCCGATATTGAAAAAGAACTTCAAATTACAGCAAGGCTGGGATCCATCGAACAGCGATGGGCAGCAGAATTGGCACTCGTTGACCTAGAGAGAAAACATCGCCCGGGGCGGTCCAATGGCAATGCGGACGCCTTATCAAGGAATCCTTACGAGAAACCGGGTGATGAGGAAGAAACGCTGACAGGAATATGTGAGGTCAGAGCGTCAACAGATATCCCTCATGGGGTACAAGTGATGCAGAACGGGCAGACCGGGGTGGAGCACATATCCGCAGAGCCCGAACATATGGACAATAGTGATTTTAATTGCCTTAATCACCAAAAGATAAGAGATGCCCAGAGAACGGATAGTGGCTTACAACCGCTATTGAAATACGTCCAGGAACAAAAATTCCCAGGAAGAAGGGAAAGAGAACAATTTGGTCGAGAAACAAAGAAAATACTGAGTCAGTGGAACCGTCTCAGTATAAAGGATGGTGTTCTCATGCGGAGAATTCATGACCAAATTGATGGCACAATACACCAGGTGGTGGTGCCGGGACAATTACGAGGAGAAGTGCTAAGGTTGGCACATGACAGGGCAGGACACCAGGGTCAGGACAGAACCCACAAAATATTACGACGGAGGTGTTACTGGCCCAATATGGAAATGGAGGTCAAACGCCATTGTGAGGCTTGTGTGAGGTGTCAGCATGCGAAAATGCCAGTTGTCAAAATGAGACAGCCATCAGGACACCTACTGGCGACAAAACCACTAGAGATTGTGGCTATGGACTTTACGTCGTTGGAGCAATCATCGGATGGGACGGAACATGTGTTGGTAATGACTGATGTATTCACCAAATGGACGGTGGCGGTGCCCACGCGAGATCAGACCGCCAAAACAGTGGCAAAGGTCTTATTACAACATTGGTTCATCAAATATGGCATACCAAGACAATTACACTCTGACCAAGGAAGGGCTTTCGAGTCAGAAGTAATTAACCAACTGTGCAACCACTACGGGATCAACAAATCTAGAACAACCACATTTAATCCGAAAGGAAACGGACAGTGTGAACGGTTCAACCGCAGCATGCATGATTTGCTGCGTACGCTAGAACCTGAACAGAAAAAACGTTGGCCTGATTTTCTCCCAGAGTTGGTATATCTATACAACTGCACACCACATGCCACAACCGGCTTTTCGCCATACATGTTGCTGTTCGGACGAGAGGCTCGACTCCCTCTTGATTTGTTCCTAGGAAAAAGGGAGAGTATGACTGGCTCATACACCGCACTGGAATATGTGAATGAACATATGAGAAGAATTAGAGAAATGTACAGGGTAGTACAGGAAAGACTAGAACATGAATCTCGGCGAAGGGAACCGCCGATACAGACGAAGGACCCGCCATTCAAACTGAATGACAGGGTATTACTGCGTAGCCACCCGTTAGGCAGAAACAAAATCCACGATCTCTGGGGACAGGAGATATGGCAAGTCGTGGAGATGCCTAAAGTAGCAGGTGGCCCCTTTAAGATAAGACCCATCGATCACGCCAAACCGGATCGGTGGGCGAATATTGCTCAATTAAAGAAATATTGGAATAGGCAAGAAGAGCAGTTACACACAGAGAAACCCAAGACAATTAGGGAACCGGAAGTTATAACGGAAATTCACATACCCATTCCGGAACCATATCACCATCAACAGAACAACAGCGATACGCAAGGGGAGGATACCGGCAACAATGAGGATCCCGGTCCCTCCAGAAGCAGAGAGACAGTAGACCATCAGATAAGTGGTCCGCGGAGAAGTTTAAGGAACAGAAGGAATACGAAATTTTTTGTCAGCAACCATCAATTCTTTCATGGTCGCGCTGGTATGAAAACAGACTGTTCAAAGAGCTATAGAAGTGAACTGGTGAAGGCACCAAATGGAAAGGGTGGATGTGAATTCTAGAACTGTTTTGTGTCTCAGAAAGATGGTGTAGACACAGTTGATATGTGAAATAGGTAGAACTGTCAATCGTATACGAATGGAACGTCGTGGACAGTGAGTGGAACAATAGATTTTTTTTTTTTTTACGACTGTGCGATTGACTTTGGAGGAGTGCACCTGCCAGGCGTTGTTTGTGGTTGAAAACACACAAAAAAAGCAGGGGTGGATGTAACTGGGGTAGGCCTAACTACCAGTTACAAATGATAACGAACGAGAAGCCGAGACACAGTGTTGGTCTGATGCAACCGATAACAGGTGGCTTATTGGGTCGGGCTGATAACAACCTCAAAGCCGGCGCGTGCTATTTTGGGAAACGGTATTCAGACGGCCTGTCAACTTTGATGGATAGGACGCAGATGTTATTTTACGGTCTGTACGTTTGAACTACGCAACTGGTGGTCGGAGATCGAGTACAAGTATCGATTACGGAGGAATACAAGTACGGAGACGAGTACGATTATGAAGGGGATATATATATGGGAAGGCGACGGCTGGTTCGGGCAGACTGGAAGACAGACTCTCTCTTCCCGTTTCAGCGAGCTCTCTTCCATCTTCATCGCTCGCTTAGATCAGTCAGTCTGTGTGACTATGTCAAGTCGGTTATAGAACGGGTTAGCCGTATTGTGTTAAGGAGGATTATAGACATGTGGATTCAGTTATATGAAGCCTAGTGAAGGACTGTTAGGGGTCAGTTGATTCAGACTATTATTGAGAAGCATTCCTGTTGATTTATTGTGTTATTATGAAGCATTTCTTGATTCATGTAATAAAGGATCAATAGCGAACCTGCATCTTGAGTATCTATACTGTGGTCAATGTTGTCTAGAATGAGTGGTTAAACTCGTTAACACGTGGCACTACAGGCAATTAGATCTCATTACATGTGGCGTTGCGAGCATGGTAACTGTTGGCTCGTTACAATTGGCGTTGTCGGCAGGATAAATGTTCGCTCGTCACATATATTTCAAACTTTTTAGAACTGACTGTGAAAGTTTCTTTTCGGCTAAATCACTCTAGCCAACACACTTATATATAAGTAATATATCGGTATTATTTTTTTTTTTGCTAACTGAAACTCAACTAATATATTGTGGTTTAGAGGAGAGGGGTTGTCGGCTTAATTGTAAATTTAGGAGAGTGGGTGGGGGTCTTATATTTATAATAAAGTGTGAAGTTAGGGTGAAGGGCGATATAAAGACCCACTACGTTGTATTGGTTCGTATAAATCAAAGAATGTATCTTTAACACGTCAGGTAAATACGTATATGCTAGGCATTATCTTGAACCTACAAGGATCCTAGGGTCTTCTTATGTCCGTTTCTCTCTGCGTAGACAACGTCGAGGTCTGGCGCTGGACGGTAGGGAAATTTGCCTTCGTTTCTAAATATAGTCTCCATGTCTTCTGGGTTGCTCGTCTGGACGGAGATCTTATCCAACCGATATTTGAATATAGGGCCGTATTTTCTGTGCATCTATCGGTGTAGCATGTGAGTTGTTTCAGCAGTGTAAGGAGCTGGTGGAGAAACGATGTTAGACCTCGTCATTATACACACATGTGTACACAAGGACACGGAGATATATACATACGTTTGTCCACCATAGCACCTAGACATATACACACGTGTATACACGAGGACACGTAGATGTATACACATGTGTACATACGACACGAACACATGAATATACACCAGCTTATGTGCAATAGCTTTAAGGTCTATAATGTGGCATGAATACTCCCATTTATCTGTTTAAAATTGACCATTTATTTCATATCAATTGATGTGTTTTATAGTGTTATATGAAATAAATATATACTTACCTAGCCATTATCGGCCAGGCTTTGCTTCAGCCATTTTTAGCCATTTTTAAATATAAATGCTAACGCAGATATGTTTGTTTGTTTAAAAAAAATATTTTATTGAGACAAATTAAAGAGCATTGTATAAAGCTGCATTTAAAACAGCAATTCATAAAATTTTAAGTTTCGCAAAACATAATTAAACATTTTTACACCTTTATCAGAAATATCATCAAAGCCTAACCCCAAAATTGTCAATTGATGTGTTTTATAATGTTATATGAAACGTACACAGCTGTGTACCGTTATTTAACATCTCATTAGGCCACGAAACCTCTATATAATTTTTGGGCATTGCATTCCCCATCCCTTCCATGCACACAGAAACTACGACCAAATTTAACACGACAAAAATGTATCGCGAATCGCGTCGTTTTAAATAATTATGTTACAATTTAACAACCTTATATATTTCCATCATAAATAAATGTCATTAAATTTAATTAATATTCTAGATAGCAGAAGTTTAGTTAATTAAAATGAAAGGGGAAAAGCATCGCTCTATACCACTCAGTGGCGTAGGCAGGGGGGGGGGGGTTAGGGGGAGGTCATAACCCCCCCCCCCCCATAGACCCCTCGGTATATATATAAAAAGTATGAGGGGGGTGCAAATCGAAATTTTGAGGGGGGGGGGTGCAAATCGAAAGTTTGTCCCCGGGTAAAAATTGGAACCCCCCTCCCCCTCCCCTTGAGACTATCCTGGCTACGCCACTGATACCACTCTAAACTAGGCATATAACTAAGTTTTTAAAATTGCATTAAATAACAACTTGCAGGTTTTACAGAGAAAAATTAACCACATCTATTTAACAGTAGAAGACCTTACGTCGAAACTGTTTTCATTTCCCATTATTAGAGTTTTGTCACTAAATGCTTTGTACCAAATAACCGCTTTAATTATTTAATAGCAGTGTTAAAATAACATTGCAATGCTAAAAAATAAAGTAAATACACTTGTGCCTCAGAAAATCCACACTAAAATCATTAATGATTGGCATTGTTTATATGTGACTAGCGTACCCGCCCCCCGCGCGTTGCCGCGGTGATAGATGAAAGTCTGACGAAATAAGTTAGAAGGATATCACCAATGCATTAATAATCATATGTTCTTAGACGCGTGTCCTTCTTTTCTAAAACTGTGTTATTTAAATGGAAACAATGCCTGCGCTTGGATAATAATTACCGTGACACGGGTTTTCCTACACTACCGCATGAAAACCTTGAGTGTACATTAATCACTCACCGAAATAATGAGGTAGAACACACTTCGGTGACCACCCATGTGTCAGGGACGTAGAGGGGCGCTCTCAGGAGCCCCCCCCCACCCCCCGATTACACTACCGCATATGCGCAGCGTACGGCCCCTGGCTCCTTAAAACTAACAGGCGCCATCGTGCCAAATAGCATCATGTTAATAATGATGCAGATTTCGTCATTCGCTAAAGTGACATAAATGAACAGGATTTTTTTTTATTTAACACCTAAAAAAATTATTTCACGTGTTTTAAACATCAGTGTGACTGATGCAATATGCTAGCGCTACTAATGGTCTATTATTAGATGCTCGATTTCAATTTCTGACTGGATCGTCTAATAATAGATGCTTATTGCATCATTCGAAAAGTGACGAAACTCTACAGTAGGCTCCTCATATTCAAAAATTTATTTTTTCATCTTTCGCAAGGTGACGAAACTGTACAGCATTTCCTCGCGTTACAAAGTTATTTTTTAGAATCCTGTTGTAGTTTTACCGCTGAATATAGTAGTACCCCTTATTCGCTCGATTAACGGATGCCAAGATCCAACATAATCGATCTAAAACTCTGGGCGTCAAACTGTGTATTGACGAAAATTGTACCCTACATGGCGCCGCCTATAAGAAACTTTTGTTTTCTTTTTCGCAGAAATATTCTCGTGAGTATTCTCATCTACTCCTTAAAGTTTCATGGCGCTCCGATTAACAGTATCCGAGTTTTATTTTTTATTTACCGTGTATAGAGAAAAAAATTGCTCCCCCCGGGGGCACCGCCCTTGCAATATTAAAATTTTTTTTTTTTGCAGAGCCCTACCATTTAGTGATCTAATCATCTCCCCAAAGTTTCATGGTACACGAATGAACGGTGTGAAACCGAAATAGACTTTTATTTTTATAAACCGTAAATAGAGAAAAAACAAATCGCGCCCTGCCGGGGCGCCACCCCTGCGAGTGTGTAAATGTTTTTAGCGCAGAAACTCCCCAGGAATATTCTCAACATCTTCCCAAAGTTTCATGGCGATGGTGTGAACGGTGTCACGGCAATTCACTTTTATTATTTTTATATACGGTATATAGAGAAAAATCACACCCTCCCGTGGCGCCGCCCTTGTGAAATTAAAAATGATTTTTTTTACAGAACCCTCTCCTTACAGTGTTCTAATGAACTCACCAAAGTTTGACAGCGATCAGATGAATGGTGTCAAAATAAAAAATCGACTTTTATTTTTATATACCGTATATAGAGAAAAACAAATCGCGCCCTGCCTTGGCGCCACCCCTGCGAATTTGAAATTTTTTTTCCGCAGAAACCTCCCCAGGAATATTCTCAACAACTTCCCAAAGATTCACGGCGATGTGATGAGAGGTGTAGTAATGCATAAAGGACAAACAGACAAACAAACACACACACAAACATAAATTGCTTTATATAGAGAGAGATTTATTTGCTTTCTTTACAGAAGCAATTAAGCAGATAATTATTATTAATCGTTATTACTTCATTTTTTTTTCGCAGTGGTTTGAAAACCGTTTAATATAAATTTTAACTGAACTTTTTTCTTTTTCAGATATTTTCTGTATTTATTTTGCGTGCAGTCAAACTACGTTGAAAACTAAAAGTTTAAATACTTGACGCAGTTAAGTCCCTTTAGGTAAAACAGGGCGGTAAAAAAGGTCAATGTTCAAACCCTAAATGTTACATTTCTGAGATTTTGGTATTTTTTCCAGGTACCCTGGGTCTTTCCTTGCCAAATTTTATGTTTATGGTGCTCCTGTAAGTGGTCGATCTAATTTTGAAAAAAAAAACATATAGTCAGGCTAGATCAGTTTTGGTCACCTTAAACGCGATTGTTAAGATCACTATAGTTTTTCTGTTATATTGAGGTTAAATATATTTTTTTTCCTCTGAAACTTTCCCACAAATACCCGATCTAATTTATGTAAGGAATAGCGTGACAGACGTACATCCCAAGATACCCTACTTTGCTTAGATATACATGAATGGTTTATAACGTAGCAATAAAATCAATTTTAACTCACGGAGTGTTTTAGAATACAGCATAAAGCTTTGTGTATTCACTCAATAGCTTATAATGTAATATACAATATTTGTACTAACTGAATGTTTTTTAACGTATCATGAAATAAGTATGTACTAACTGAATAATTTATAACGTATCATGAAATAAGTATGTACTCACACTAAATAGTTTATACCGTATCATGAAATAAGTATGTACTCACTGAATAATTTATAACGTATCATGAAATAAGTATGTACTCAATGAATAATTTACAACGTATCATGAAATAAGTATGTACTCACAGAATGGTTTATAATGCAGCATGAAATATGTATGTACTCACAGAATGGTTTATAATGCAGCATGAAATAAGTCTGTACTCACAGAATGGTTTATAATGCAGCATGAAATAAGTCTCTACTCACAGAATGGTTTATAATGCAGCATGAAATATGTATGTACTCACAGAATGGTTTATAATGCAGCATGAAATATGTATGTACTCACAGAATGGTTTATAATGCAGCATGAAATAAGTCTGTACTCACAGAATGGTTTATAATGCAGCATGAAATAAGTCTGTACTCACAGAATGGTTTATAATGCAGCATGAAATATGTATGTACTCACAGAATGGTTTATAATGCAGCATGAAATAAGTATGTACTCACAGAATGGTTTATAATGCAGCATGAAATAAGTGTGTACCCACAGAATGGTTTATAATACAGCATGAAATAAGTAGGCCTATGTACTCACAGAATGGTTTATAATGCAGCATGAAATAAGTATGTACTCACAGAATGGTTTATAATGCAGCATGAAATAAGTATGTACTCACAGAATGGTTTATAATGCAGCATGAAATAAGTATGTACTCACAGAATGGTTTATAATGCAGCATGATATAAGTATGTACTCACAGAATGGTTTATAATGCAGCATGAAATAAGTATGTACTCACAGAATGGTTTATAATGCAGCATGAAATAAGTATGTACTCACAGAATGGTTTATAATGCAGCATGAAATAAGTCTGTACTCACAGAATGGTTTATAATGCAGCATGATACCAATATACGGCCACAAGTAAATGCCTCGTGGGCCGGGAATCTCTTGGAAGGGTCGGGCATTGACCTGCTCACTCCTCGTATCCACGGATACAGTGGACATCCAGTGTCGCCTGCACTGAGTACCGAGTGCCGCTTTTATCCATCTGTTTAGTGCTGCCATTTATTCAGAGTCTGTTAGATTAGGTTTACATCATTTTAACAGGGTTAATCTGATTTTAACTTTTATTTATTATAACATTTAGAAGTTAAACATAACCATTCGAAAATCATGCGTTAATTATGGCCCAATAACTCAATAGTTGAAATCGACCCTACTAAGGCAGAATACCCCATTTTGTGAACAACTATTTAAACAAAAGAATGAACATCGTAGCTACCAGCACTTGTTGCAAAGCAGGTGTTTTAGTGATTTTTTTTTATAGATCTAGTTTGTATAGGTTTTTGAAGTACACAATTATATTAAATTCATAATTATATTAAATTTCTTATTAAAGAAACATGTTCACAAACCTCTGAATGTTAAACAGGAGCTTTAGGGAAATTTCCACACCAATATGTAATCCGGGCTATTTAGAGTTAATGGAAATATAAGTTTACAAACCATGAGCTGTACCTAAACGTTGCACACAATCAACACAACATTCCGCTTGTAAAGCTATACGTTGGTCCGGACTATTAAACATTACAAGCAGGCCTACACGCTCCTATAACTGTGAACTGTACCGAGCTATATACATAAATAGTTTTTACGTCAGACGGTGTGGAAACCTTGACCCTTGAGTGCAGGGTGCTTTGACATAAGCCTCGTTATCAGGCACGTTCTGTGTTCCTGCTTACAACTAACGGTTCCAGTCTTAACACCATTTAGCACTTTAAAAAATCGCGTTTAAACACAGCCTTTTGGTACCAACATCAACATTAATGGCCAAAAATAGACTAGATATAACAATGTGTCTGCTACATAAAATTAATAACAATAAATAAACGACCGTTGTCGATGAAGTAATAATTTAAACAGGCTGAATGTAAGTTTCCTCGAGCGTATACAGATGTGAGATCCGCTCCCGTGCAGGTTAAATCTACCGCTATATATTCACGCAATATGACCGTGTCTGTGTGCACGACTTGCTAACACACATTGTAGTGGTTGTATAGCGCTACAAACTGTGTCATGTGCCTCTCAGCACGACTGGCTAACACACATTGTAGGGGTTGTACAGCGCTACAAACTGTGTCGTCACGGTTGAACTATTGAAAGGGTTTGTAATAACAAGGTTTTAAAGGAAGTGAAAGTAAGAAAAACGAATATGAAGAGACCAAAGCTGTTACTAAAAAACCAAGTTTATTATAGGCCTTTATACTTCATATTTTTTAAATATATTTCATCAGCTGTTTGAAGAGGTCAGACGCTGGCTGGGACACGATCAGCCCCTGACGGCAGACACACTTCAACACATGCAGTACCTCAAGGCGTGTGTCAAAGAGTCGTTTAGGTTCGTTTGTCTTTAGGTTCGTTTGTTTTTAGGTTCGTTTGTCTTTAGGTTCGTTTGTTTTTGGGTTTGTTTGTCTTTAGGTTTTGTATGTTTTTAGTTTCGTTTGTCTTAAGATTCGTTTGTCTTTAGGTTCGTTTGTTTTTAGGTCCGTTTGTTTTTAGGTTCGTTTAGGTTCGTTTGTTTTAAGGTTCGTTTGTCTTTAGGTTCGTTTGTTTTTAGGTTTGTTTGTCTTTAGGTTCGTTTGTTTTTAGGTTCGTTTTTTGTTAGGTTCATTTGTCTTTAGGTTCGTTTGTCTTCAGGTTCGTTTGTTTTTAGGTTCGTTTGTTTTTGGGTTCGTTTTTTAGGTTCATTTCTCTTTAGGTTCGTTTGTTTTGAGAATCGTTTGTTTTTAGGTTCGTTTGTCTTTAGATTCGTTTGTTTTTAGCTTCGTTTGTTTTTAGGTTCGTTTGTCTTTGGGTTTGTTTGTTTTTAGGTTCGTTTTTTTAGTTTCGTTTTTTAGGTTCGTTTGTTTTTAGGTTCGTTTGTCTTTAGGTTCGTTTGTCTTTAGGTTCGTTTGTATTTAGGTTCGTTTGTTTGTAGGTTCGTTTATCTGAAGGTTCGTTTGTTTCTAGATTCGTTTGTCTTTATTTTCGTTTGTTTTAGGTTCGTTTATCTGCAGGTTCCTTTGTTTCTAGTTTCGTTTGTTTTTAGGTTTGTTTGTCTTTAGGTTCGTTTGTCTTTAGGTTCGTTTGTTTTCAGGTTCGTTTGTTTTAGGCTTATTGGTTTTTCGTCAGCTTAGGTCGTCTTTGGATTTGTTCTACAAAGCGCATTTTAAAATGTGCAGATGTTTTTTATTTCAACGAAACTATTTACATAGAGAGCATCAATATTATAATAACTTCTTTAAATCGAATTTAATATTATAAAGCTACATTATTATCATATTTACTCACATCACAGATATAAAGATTTATAAAGGTACATAGTTATCATAGTTATAAAGATTTCTATGACTACATTCTTTTCGTATTTACTCAGATCACAGATATAAAGATTTATAAAGGTACATAGTTATCATAGTTATAAAGATTTCTAAGACTACATTATTATCATATTTACTCACATCACAGATATAAAGATTTATAAAGGTACATAGTTATCATAGTTATAAAGATTTCTATGACTACATTCTTTTCGTATTTACTCAGATCACAGATATAAAGATTTATAAAGGTACATAGTTATCATAGTTATAAAGATTTCTAAAACTACATTATTATCGTATTTACTCACACAGGCTGCTGTACCCCATCAGTGGAGTTATGCGGGTCCTGCCTTGTGATGTGGTCTTAAGTAACTATCACATCCCAGCAGGGGTAGGTCTAAACTTTTCACCGTTCATCTACCGTATCCCTACTCCCAGTGTATCCCTACTCCCAGTGTATCCCTGCTCCCAGTGTATCCCTGCTCCCAGTGTATCCCTGCTCCCAGTGTATCCCTACTCCCAGTGTATCCCTACTCCCAGTGTATCCCTGCTCCCAGTGTATCCCTGCTCCCATTATATCCCTGCTCCCATTGTATGCCGGCTCCTAGTGTATCCCTTCCCCCAGTGTATCCCTGCTCCCAGTTTATACCTGCTCCCAGTTTATACCTGCTCCGTGTATCCCTGCTCACGGTATTCTTTTAAAATATAACAAACGATCTGATAGATTGACTTAGACAAGTGTCAAAATGTTTTTTGGGCTAATGTTCTTTAAGTTGTCGGGTATAATGAAATAACTATTGGTACAGTAAACTAAAGTTGCATTGTTTAATAACTTATCGTCTGAATTCCGTATTAGATCAACACAAACTTATAATAAGAATTAATAAACCATTGAGCGTGGGACTACCAGTACTAATCTATAGCTATGTATAAAAAGGTTGGCTATACACAATTCCCTCACAGGTACAGATCCTCCTGGCTAATGCTCTGACGTGCCAGCAGAATTTTCACGATCCCCTGACCTACTTACCCGAGCGTTGGCTGAGGTCGGAGGATGGCCATCTGGATGACGTCATACCAAAACATGCCGTGCTGCCCTTTGGCTATGGACCCAGGAATTGTATTGGACGTCGATTTTCTAAACAGGAGCTTTATCACACTACTGTCAAGGTAAGGGCATAGACTTTCATGACGTTCAAGTGTAAACTTGTCAACATTTCACAAGTAAATGTTCTGATATAAGACTACAATTTAGACTACACACAGTTTGTACATAGGATATTCTTGCAACCATCGGCACCAGTTAACTTTACATTCAACAGGAGATTGTGACACCTCACCAGGCTAACTTTACTTTCAACAGGAGATTGTGACACCTCACCAGGCTACATTCAACAGGAGATTGTGACACCTCACCAGGCTATCTCTACATTCAACAGGAGATTGTGACACCTCACTAGGCTACATTCAACAGGAAATTGTGACACCTCACCAGGCTAACTTTACATTAAACAGGAGATTGTGACACCTCACCAGGCTAACTTTACATTCAACAGGAGATTGTGACACCTCACCAGGCTAACTTTACATTCAACAAGAGATTGTGACACCTCACCAGGTTAACTTTACATTCAACAGGAGATTGTGACACCTCACCAGGCTAACTTTACATTCAACAGGAGATTGTGACACCTCACCAGGCTAACTTTACTTTCAACAGAAGATTGTGACACCTCACCAGGCTACATTCAACAGGAGATTGTGAAATTCAGCAAACGTTAACTAAGAATTGTGAAGGGGAGTGTGATAATTAACTATAGTTAACGGTACATTCAACAAGAGATTGTGACTTTTTACATACAATTTATTTTTATACACAGATTGTGACAGCAAATAGACTATTCATTGCATAAAGTATTGTATTTTGACTGAATATGCGCAATAATAGATACAATTTTTATAATATAGAATAACTACAAGTATTGATATTTGATTTTTTAATTATATTCGGCATGGCTTGTGGTCCCTGGTAAAAGTCATGTTTGTTGATCTTGAGAGGACAGTCCTATTTCTCGTCTCTAGTAGGACAGTCCTATTTGTTGTCTCTAGTAGGACAGTCCTATTTGTTGTCTCTAGTAGGACAGTCCTATTTGTTGTCTCTAGTAGGACAGTCCTATTAGTTGTCTCTAGTAGGACAGTCCTATTTGTTGTCTCTAGTAGGACAGTCCTGTAGGTGGCCCCAGGTTATAGTCCTGCGATGACGTATCTCAAAAAGTTAAAAGGAACATAATTCATGTTCTATTTATAAGGATAAATCCTCTTAAATCTTGTGCAATCAGAGAACACAAAATCGCACTTTCATGCCGTGCTTGCGACAAATATCAATTATTCATCTTTGATATTACTTTAAATTTTAATTTTATATATCGAAATTTAAAAAAAAATATTTTGTAATTTAAACAAAATAGAGAAGCACTTGACACAGTTAATGTTATCGAAGATGTTGGGTATACAATTCAGTGTATCAACCTTTTTGTAGTCATTGTCTAGTTGAGTGGATAAACAATTCAGTCAGTCTAGTTGAGTGGATCAACATTTTGTGGTCATTGTCTAGTTGAGTGGATAAACATTTTGTAGTCAATGTCTAGTTGCGTGAATAAAATATTTGTAGTAATTGTCTAGTTGAGTGGATCAACATTTTGTGGTCAATGTTTAGTTTAGTGAATAAAATATTTGTAGTCAATGTCTAGTTGAGTGAATCAACAATTAGTAGTCAATGTCTAGTTGATTGAATCAACAATGTGTAGTCATTGTCTAGTTGAGTGAATCAACATTTTGTAGTCAATGTCTAGTTAAGTAAATAAAATATTTGTAGTAATTGTCTAGTTAAGTAAATCGAGCTTTGTAGTGCAGTACATTGTTATTGAGCCAAAATAGTTTGGTCGTGTCTAGTTGAAAGTGCTGATCTTCGAAAATTTAAACTTGATTGGGGTCGTTGGGTGTACGAAAAGTTTGTACACAAACTCCGTGTCACGTGACGAATCGTCGATATCGATCTTCAGTTTCTGTAGAACCTGTAGGTGGAGTAGAGTATGTGATGATGTGGGTGGAGTAGAGTATGTGATGATTTGGGTGGAGTAGAGTATGTGATGATGTGGATGGAGTACAGAATGTGATGATTTGGGTGGCGTAGAGAATCTGATGATTTGGGTGGAGTAGAGAATGTGATGATGTGGGTGGAGTAGAGAATGTGATGCAGTGGCGAAGCTAGGATTTTCGGGCCCCTATGCAAAAAATATCATTGGGCCCCTTCGTCAATCTGTAAAATATATACGTCCTAACTGTGTATTTATACGTTTTTATTATTCAGTACCCCGTAACGTAAAACACATTTGATTGTATACCAGCTTTATGTAAAAGCATAAATTATCCAGTTAAAATAACAAAATATTTACCAGAGAGGGTAACACTCCACCGGAAATGCAAAATTCTTGGAGGTGGTGAGGGTGGGGTGACACTCACTTAACGCACCGGGTGATACCGTACCACTAACCAAACACAAATTTTAAAAAGTTGCTAGTGATTTGTTTCGATTTATTGTTTTCTTTCAAGCTCGCAATGATTAATTTTTTCTTCGAGGTCCTTTTAAGCTGCTTTTGTATGTTCGATACTAAGAATGGCTAAGTTACTGACTCAAAGGGTATATCTACAATTTGTTTCATAACATCATCTTAATGAAGAGACTCAGGGCGCCCAACCGTATAGGCTACTACTGTCTAGGCGCTGGAGGACACCCTTTTATTTTATTGTCATCGATTATAGCAGCCTTCCGTATCCCTATGGCATGGCGCTCATTAAAACAAGTATATGTGCCATAGTGCTAGCAGGGGAACCCAGGGCGCCGGCTCGCGCCTGTGCAGTTTGGCCGTTGAATAAAGCAGTAACCCTAACCCCTTGTGCAGGACGCCCAATCAACTGACCCCAAGTGCTAAGAAAGCCGCTAGGAAACTCTGGGTGACAAACCGAACCGCCTTACTGCCAGGGCGCTGCCCTGCGAACGAAATAAAGACAACATTAATCGCAGAAAACTCTACAGGAGTCAGAGTTTCTTTCTGGCTTCTCTTTGAGAGAGAGGCACAGCTTCTCGTATGTGGGGTTGTGAAGGAATTTAGTTGAAGTATGTTTGAAGTATTCTAAATTACTTCCCAATGTTTCATGGCGATTGGTTCAGTTTTGTATTAATGCATAAAGTATAGGCTGACAAGCAAAAAATCTTCTAGTAGCGGCATATTATTAAAGATAAATTAGATCAACAAACAAAAAATGTTATTAAGATCAAAACTATTAGAAAAACAAATGTTGGACTTAGATTGTTGTGAAAACACTGTCCACAACTGTTATGTAAAAAAGGCTCAATTTAAATCATGGATGGATGCAATGTCAAAGTGAGGACAGACAGTAGAGAGGGGGGGGGGGGGGGGGGGTAAAGTTTATGGCGGCGAGGTAGAGAATTTCCTAGCCGTTTAAGGTTTGTAGCGATGCTTGTAAATTTACTGTTGCCGGATAATTTATTACAAAAGAGTCAATGTTCATTGTTTTTTTTTATATTTTAATTCTCTCAACGATTTGCCAGACAAAGCAACAAAGCATGTAGTGTTATTAATACCGATGGGTCCTTTACGACCCCCCCCCCCTTTTTTTGGAAGTTTTGAATTTTTTCCTACAGTAGAAAAGAAACTGGATTCCCATTTTCTTTTTAAAATTATTTTTATAGAAGAAATATAAAATTCCAACTTAAAAGTTATAATTTACTTTATAGAGGGAAAAGGGCCCCTATTTTCCTTGCTTACGCTAGCTTTACGGTAGCTACGCTACTGATGTGATGATGTAGATAGAGTAAATAATGAGATTAGTGTTAAATATGTCTACCTTAGAAGTGGCCAGATAAATTTCCTGCACAGCGAAACGTCTCCCAATACAATTTCGGGGTCCGAATCCAAAGGGCAATACGACCATACTGTGTATGTCGTCATGTCTCTTGCCTGATTCCGTCCGCATCCATCTCTCCGGAATAAACCGGTCTGGATTTTCACCCGCATGTCTGCAGGCTTCAAGGTTACTCAGTAACAGAGGAGTCTAGTTAAAAATTAATTACACATTGTAAAATGAGAATGTTAATAATGTAAATGATTTCACACAGTACAATATTTCAGCACATGTTTCAGCACATGTTTCACAATAGATTTTAATTTTTAGATATTATAAGGGAAATCAAAGTAATATATACAAAAAGAAAGAAATTCAATTATCTAGAAGCGGGATGAGCTAGGATGAGGGAGCAGATCAAGACCTAAAATCGTATCAAGAAGACCAGGTGTGCCAACACAGCATCACCACTCGAGACAAGGATCAGAGTCTTAAACAAAATGTTCAATCAGTATTGTTTTACGGTTCTTTACGACAGATATTTAAGAGAAGATGGCCAGACCAAATATCCTGTGGCACAACACATCGCTTGGAAAGTTTTAGACTAGAATCTTCTATCAAGAAGGAAAGTAGACCGGCCAAAGAAATCCTGGCCCGGCTTACAAATATAAGAGAGACGCTCAAAACCAAGCCCTATGGACAGTTGTAGCTGTAGCCCATTGCTCCACAGGGGCCACACAGAAAAAAAGTCAAAGCAATAAATATAAATAATGGCATTTCATTTCTATAAGGATTGTTCTAGACTAAAATCAAAATGGAAATATGGCGGTGGATTTCATGTATGGTTACCTTGTGACCATGTGAAATTAATATTATGTGTTTGCCTTGTGACCATGTGTGATTGGAATGTGTTTTGGTAGAAACATTATGTGTTTGCCTTGTAATCATGATTGACTGCAACGTGATTTGGTAGAAACTTTATGTGTTTGTCTTGTGACCATGTGTGATTGCAATGTGATTTGGTAGAAACATTATGTGATTAGCTCACCCCAGCAGGAACCTTGTAGCCACTAAGGACCACATCAGTTGGCAAGATTCGCATGACGCCGCCGGGTGTTGGGTAGTACAGCCTGCAATATATAATACAAACATGCGTCGCTAGGTCGGCGGCACCTCTTTGTGTCACTCCTTCCCCCCCCCCCCACACACACACATACATCAGAAAAATTAGAAACTTTATAGGCTATATATATATATATATATATATATATATATATATATATATATATATATATATATATATATATATATATATATATAGATATAGATATATATATGTAACGAGACTATTTGCCTGTAGTGCCAAATGTTAACGAGTTCTGCTCGACAACGCCAAATGTTACCGAGTCTAACCACTCATTCTACACAACATCGACCACAGTATAGATACTCGAAGATGCAGGTTCGCTATTGATCCTTTTATTACATGAATCAAAGAAATGCTTCACAATAATATAATGAATCAAAAGGAATGCTTCACAATAATAGTCTGAATCAACTGACCCCCAACAGTCCTCACTAGTCTTCACATAACTGAATGCACATGTCTATCGTCCTTCTTAACACAATACGGCTAACCCGTTCAATAACCAACTTGATACTGCCACACAGACTGACTGATCGAGAGGGAGCGAGAGAGAGACTGAGAGCTCAGCCGTCGCCTTCCTTATATCCCCTTCGTATCCGTAGTCGTATTCGGTTCTATCATAATCGTAATCGTAATCGATTCTAATCGTTGCATCAGAATGTTAATTACGCCGCTTCTGTCGTACAGTCCGATTTAATATAACATCTGCACTGTTTCGTCAGCCAAGTCGTGTCAAAGTTGACAGCGCTTGTCGTATCCTTCCAAACTACGCCGTGGCTTTATGATCGTTATCAGTTGGCTTATCAGTCCAACACCTGCACTATCGCGTTCTCAACAATAGTGACTAGTAACTAGGCCCACCCTAGTTACATCCACCGCCGCCTTTTTTTGTGTGTTTTCAACCACAAACAACGCTTGGTAGGTGCACTTCCTAAATATCCATCGCACCATCGTAAAAAAAAAATTATTGTTCCATTCACTGTCAATGTCGTCCCATTCGTAAAAGATTGACAGTTATCCCTATTTCACATATCAAATGTGTCTACATCATATTCCTCAGACACAAAACAGTTCTAGAATTCACATCCACCCTTTTTCGTTTGGTGCCTTCACCAGTTCACTTTTATGACTTTTTGAACAGTCTGTTCTCATACCAGCGCGACCATGAAAGAATTGATGGTTGCTGACAAAAAATTTCGTATTATTTCTTTTTCTCAAACTTCTCCGCGGACCACTTATCTGATGGTCTACTGTCTCCCTGCTTCTGGGAGGAACGGGATCCTCTTCGTTGCCGTTATCCTCCACTTGTGTATCGCTGTTGTTCTGTTGATGGTGACATTGTTCCGGGATGGGTATGAGAATTTCCGTGTAAGTTTCCGGTTCCCTAATTGTCTTGGGTTTCCTTGTGTGTAACTGCTCTTCTTGACTATGACAATATTTCTTTAATTGAGCAATATTCGCCCACCGATCCGGTTTGGTGTGATCGATGGGTCTTATCTTAAAGGGGCCACCTGCTACTTTAGGCATCTCCACGACTTGCCATATCTCCTGTCCCCAGAGGTCGTGGATTTTGTTTCTGCCTAACGGGTGGCTACGCAGTAATACCCTGTCGTTCAATTTGAGTGGCGGGTCCTTTGTCTGTACCGGCGGTTCCCTTCGCCGTGCTTCATGTTCTAGTCTTTCCTGTACTACCCTGTACATTTCTCTAATTCGTCTCATATGTTCATTCACATATTCCAGTGCAGTGTATGAGCCAGTCATACTCTCCTTTTTTCCTAGGAACAAGTCAAGAGGGAGTCGAGCCTCCCGTCCGAACAGCAACATGTATGGCGAAAAGCCGGTTGTGGCATGGGGTGTGCAGTTGTATAGATATACCAACTCTGGGAGAAAATCAGGCCAACGTTTTTTCTGTTCAGGTTCTAGCGTACGCAGCAAATCATGCATGCTGCGGTTGAACCGCTCGCACTGTCCGTTTCCTTTCGGATTAAATGTGGTTGTTCTAGATTTGTTGATCCCGTAGTGGCTGCACAGTTGGTTAATTACTTCTGACTCGAAGGCCCTTCCCTGGTCAGAGTGTAATTGTCTTGGTATGCCATATTTGATGAACCAATGTTCTATTAAGACCTTTGCCACTGTTTTGGCAGTCTGATCTCGTGTGGGCACCGCCACAGTCCATTTGGTGAATACATCGGTCACTACCAACACATGTTCCGTCCCATCCGATGATTGCTCCAATGACGTAAAGTCCATAGCCACAATTTCTAGTGGTTTTGTCGCTAATAGGTGTCCTGATGGCTGTCTCATTTTGACAACTGGCATTTTCGCATGCTGACACCTTACACAAGCCTCACAATGGCGTTTGACCTCCATTTCCATATTGGGCCAGTAACACCTCCGTCGTAATATTTTGTGCGTCCTGTCCTGCCCCTGGTGTCCTGCCCTGTCATGTGCCAACCTTAGCACTTCTTCTCGTAATTGTCCAGGCACCACCACCTGGTGTATTGTCCCATCAATTTGGTCATGAATTCTCCGCATGAGAACACCATCCTTTATACTGAGACGGTCCCACTGACTCAGTATTTTCTTTGTTTCTCGACCAAATTGTTCTCTTTCCCTTCTTCCTGGGAATTTTTGTTCCTGGACGTGTTTCAACAGCGGCTGTAAGCCACTATCCGTTCTCTGGGCATCTCTTATCTCTTTGTGATTAAGGCAATTAAAATCACTAATGTCCATATGTCCGGGCTCTGTGGATATGTGCTCCACCCCGGTCTGTCCGTTTTGCATCACTTGCACCCCGTGAGGGATATCTGTTGACGCTCTGACCTCACATATTCCTGTCAGCGTTTCTTCCTCATCGCCCGGTCTCTCGTAAGGATTCCTTGATAAGGCGTCCGCATTGCAATTGGACCGCCCCGGGCGATATTTTATCTCCAGGTCAAAGAGTGCCAATTCTGCTGCCCATCGCTGTTCGATGGATCCCAACTTTGCTGTCTTTAGGTGACTGAGGGGGTTATTGTCAGTGTATACCACACATTTAGCACCTAATAGATAGTCCCTGAATTTTTCAGTCACAGCCCATTTTAATGTCAAAAGTTCTAGTTTCATTGCGCTGTAATTTGTCATGTTCTTCTCTGATTCCTTCAGAGCTCGACTGGCATACGCAATAACCCTGAAACCTTGCTCTTGTTGTTGTGATAGCACAGCTCCCAGACCTTTAGAGCTGGCGTCAATTTCTAGCCGAAATGGTTTGTCAAAGTCCGCGTATCCTAATATCGGCGTCTCTGTCAAAGCCTTTTTCAAGAGCTTAAACAAGTTCAGGCATTCATCAGTCCATAATTCACCTATCAGTTGTGTTTTACCTTTCTTTTTCTCCTTACTGTGTTTCTTTGTCATTTTGTTTACCAAGTCATGCAACGGTGCGGCAATTTTTGCAAAACCAGGTACAAATTTTCTATAATAGGAAGCAAAGCCCAAAAATGATCTGAACTCTACTGTGGTTGTTGGCTGTTTCCATTCTTTAACAGCTGCAATTTTATCTGGGTCAGTGGCGATGCCATCCGACGAAATCACATAACCCAAAAAATGTACCGATTTCCGACCGAAGCCGCATTTGTCTGGGTTCAGCTTTACTCCTATCTCCCTAAGACGGAGAAACACTTGTTCTAATCTTTCTAGATGGTCCTCCCAAGTTTTTGAGTAAACTAGTATATCATCCAAGTACACCAACATTATTTGAAATAGAAAGTCACTCATAGCACTCTGCATTACTCGCTGGAATGTAGCAGGCGCATTAGTTAGACCAAACGGCATACGGGTCCACTCGTACAGTCCCAGTGGAGAAATAAATGCAGTCTTATGTTGATCGTTGGGGTGCATGGCCACTTGGTGGTAGCCACTAGCCAAATCTAAGGTAGAAAAAAATCTTGCTCCCCCCAACGCATCAAGACATTCATCAATACGAGGCAAGGGGAATGCATCCCTTCTTGTGATATTGTTCAATTTCCGGTAATCACAACACAGTCTTATCTCCCCTGACTTCTTTTTAACCACTACTATCGGTGCCGCATACGGGCTAGTGCTGGTTGTAATAATTCCCTTTTTTAGTAGATCGTTCAGGTGTGCTTTCACCGCAGAGTAGTGACTTGGTGGTAATCTTCGATAAGGTTGCGCCACCGGCTTGTCTTGTAGTAAGGGTATCTGGTGTTTTATTACTTCCGTGTAACCCAAATCACCCTCGTACGAGGCAAATATATCCCTGTACTTATTCAGCAATTCATTTAGTTTTGGGTCCTCAGTTTCCGGGAATGTATATGATCGGCCATCCTCTTTCTTCACCTCGGCCGTCACATTGACCGACCTAATTGTTACTTCATTACTGCTGGTATTGCTCAGTTCGATGCACTGTGCCGACCTTAGTACCTCGACGTTCTGTGGTACTCCTACCAGAGTATTAGGCGGTATAAAAATTTCCTCATCCAAAACATTTGCCACTAATCCTTGAACTAGTCCCTTCTCCGCTGATGTGTATGTCCGCAGTAACACGACGCCTGCCCTCAGTGCGGCGCCACATGGTTCTATCATCACATCACCATTCACGCTTCTATCACCAATTTGTAATGTGATTGCCTTGACCGCGTTTGCCGGGACTGATATCCTTCCTCTGGTCTTGGCAAACCTGGCCAACTTGGATCCCCGACCTGGTGTGGTCGATCCGACAATATTTGTAAGAAATTCTGGCAACTGGCCAAGAATATTCATGCCCAACAGGCAAGGTATATTTGACACATTTGTCTCTAGGTTGTGTTTCGTAACGAACACCCCAACCTGCTTCAACCTATGTCCCGCCACCACGACATCCGCTAGAAAATAACCACAGTATGGAATGGTTAGTCCATTAGCTGCCGTCAGGCGCATGCATGTGTCAGACCTCAACCTATGGTCTTTTCCTTTCATCCATTTGGTGTAAAAATTTTCCGTAATTGTCGTCACCTGGGAGCCTGTATCCACAATTGCCTTCACCGCGATGTCCCCGATCGTAATCATCATTTCGGGACAGACTCCCATCATTTTGTTTCTTGGGCCATAACCTCGCCCCTCTGTAGCCTGGCCCTGCCTTACAGAGGACGATCGTTTCACCGGACAGTACCGTGCCATATGTCCGGGTTGTGAGCAGGACCAGCAAATTGGTCGACCGTCAGCCGTCCACCGGAGCGATGGACCGGCGGGTCGCGGCTGTCCAACCCGTCCCTGTTTTGTCCCGTTTTTGCCCTGATTCTCAGCTGTTGACCTGCTTTCCAACCTCTCCAATCGTTGGTCAACCTTATCCAGGTGGGCCAACAGTTGAGCCATCATGGTTTCCATCGTGCCGGTCCCTGTGGGTGGGGATTGTTTCTGTTCCGGCACAGAGACTTTGTCTACCGAACAGTTCGATTGGTCCTCATCCTCGGACCTGCGGATCGCTGCGTTCCTGACCTGAAGGAAGGTCAGCTGTGGGTCTTTATAGACCTCTTCTTTCAACTCTCTCCTTAAGATCGGGGTTGCTAGCCCCTCGATGAAATGGTCCCTCAGTAGGCGCACATCAATGTCAGGTGTTTTGCCCTTTACCGCATCAAAGGCCCTGTTCATTCGGTGTGAATATTCCATCACACCCTCCGCCATTCTCTGCTTTAATCCTACGAAACCCGATAGCAGTTGCGATCCCGACCGTCTCTCCCCATAGGTCTCCATAATTAGATCCAGCACCTTATCTGGATCTGATTGGATGGTTTTATCGTGGCATTTGACCTCTGCCCTAACCGTCTCTCCTATACTGCCCATCAGCAGTCTTAATCTTTCCTCTGGTGACATGCATCTCGAGGCCCAGGCCGCTTTGACCTCTTCACTGAACCTGTTGGTTAAAGCTGGATCACCGTCCCCGTAAAATTTGTTAATGTGGGACTCTCTGGGCAGGACCACAATATGGGTCTGCTTCTCGTCCAGAGTAGACATTTTATTCCTTGAGTAAAAAAAGAAAAGAGTTCTTTCTTACCGTGTGTGTATGAAAAATTTTCCTCGTTCCTCAATTTTCACTGTCCCTGAATGTTCGAATTCACACACACACTAAACACAGTTATGAACAAGGTTGACTATGGGTGCCTAAAGCGGCAAGTCTCGTTGAATTCATCCTGTCCGCAGCGCCAAATGTAACGAGACTATTTGCCTGTAGTGCCAAATGTTAACGAGTTCTGCTCGACAACGCCAAATGTTACCGAGTCTAACCACTCATTCTACACAACATCGACCACAGTATAGATACTCGAAGATGCAGGTTCGCTATTGATCCTTTTATTACATGAATCAAAGAAATGCTTCACAATAATATAATGAATCAAAAGGAATGCTTCACAATAATAGTCTGAATCAACTGACCCCCAACAGTCCTCACTAGTCTTCACATAACTGAATGCACATGTCTATCGTCCTTCTTAACACAATACGGCTAACCCGTTCAATAACCAACTTGATACTGCCACACAGACTGACTGATCGAGAGGGAGCGAGAGAGAGACTGAGAGCTCAGCCGTCGCCTTCCTTATATCCCCTTCGTATCCGTAGTCGTATTCGGTTCTATCATAATCGTAATCGTAATCGATTCTAATCGTTGCATCAGAATGTTAATTACGCCGCTTCTGTCGTACAGTCCGATTTAATATAACATCTGCACTGTTTCGTCAGCCAAGTCGTGTCAAAGTTGACAGCGCTTGTCGTATCCTTCCAAACTACGCCGTGGCTTTATGATCGTTATCAGTTGGCTTATCAGTCCAACACCTGCACTATCGCGTTCTCAACAATAGTGACTAGTAACTAGGCCCACCCTAGTTACATATATGTATATATATATATATATATATATATATATATATATATATATATATATATATATATATATATATATATATATGTATATATATATATATATATATATATATATATATATATATATATATATATATATATATATATATATATAATACACTTGGTGTCACCCCTCCCGGTCCTATTTTGCCAAATCGCGTGAATTTGTGAACACATTTATTTTAATTCATTAGGGACGAAGCAACTTTTCATGGTTTACTCCAGAGTTATCATGGTGCCCCCCCCCCCCCATTTTAACTCTAATCATTTTTCTTCTATATATTTTGCAATAATTTTGTCTTGGTGTTACCCCCCCCCCCCTAATTGGTGTCACTCGGTGCGTTCCGCACCCCCAGCCCCCGCGACGCCTCGCGACGCCTCTGCAAACATGTTACAGCACGCATAATGATTCACCTAAACAAAACCGAATTAGGTCTTCTTCTCTTCAAATGATCTATTCACTTGCAATAATGCCTGAAACTATAGTGTTCAGTTCAAATGTTCCTCATCTAAATAGAAGACTGAAACAAACCTACATCTAACTGTAGCAGGGGTTCCCAACCTTTTTTTACTCTAGAGCACATTTTAAAATATCGGTAGAGTGGCGGGCACCACCTATTTTAAATCGACAAACTCCTTCCAGAGGCGTAGCAACCGTTCCCGTCACACGGGGACAAAACTTTCGATTTGCACCCCACCCCTCCCTCAAACTTTCGATTTTCACCCCCTCAAATTTTCGATTTGGAACCACCCCCCCCCTTCAAATTTTCGATTTGCACCCCCCTCTCGAATTTTCGATTTGCACCCCCCCTCAAATTTTCGATTTGCACCTTCCCCCCCCCTCAAACTTTCGATTTGCACCCCCCCCTCCAATTTTTTGATTTGCATCCCCCCTCCCCCCCCCTCAAACTTTCGATTTCCATCCCCTTCAACCTTTCAATAATGTTTATGAAAAAAATTCTGTCTTTGTCGAATAGTGAGAGGCGGGCACATACGAATCGTTCAGCGGGCGCCATGGCGCCCGCGGGCACGGGGTTGTGAACCCCTGAACTATAGTGTTCAGTTCATATGTTCTTTACCTAAATAGATGACTGAAACAGGCCTTATTGTAACCCCCATGTTCAATGTTCTACTCACCTGAACGATTCGTTTAAACAGGCTTTAAGATATGGCATCTTAGACAAGGCTTGAGCATCCACCGGCTTGTCTGGGCCCACGACACTCAGAACCTCTCGCCTTAGAGTTTCCTGTTTGTCTGGATTCTTGGCCAAGTTGTAGAAGAGAACTTGCAGGTTCCTCGCTGTCTGTGGACGTAGTCGAGTGCTAAGGTAAAGTTTTGCTGTTTTGTGAGAGTTTATCGAAATCTGGCTCTTTTGTTCCCATGAAAAAAGCTATATTTAATTATTTTTTTTTTGGATTCTCCTTTTATAAAAATCGTCTGATTTTGTGTTTGATAAGAATTAATAAATGGATAGAGGATCTTTTCCAGAAAATCCCCAACACTAAGGCAAAAAATGTCCACATGTCTGAGTAACGCCCCGTCACTTATAGATAGCTCCAATTTATTAGATGCATGCAACCTTGACCTACTTCTGATGTCTACACTTTTAAATATTTAAAACACGCAATAAAAAGAAATCCTTATCCGCCACTAGGTTTAGGGCTTGGGTTGGATTCGGGTTGAAGTTAGGTTAGGGTTGGTGTCGGGTTAGGGTTAAAAACTAAAAGTACATGTCTTAGTTTAAAAACCTCTTTTTACTTTCTCGTATATACGAAGTATAGAGAAAGTATTGTAATCGTGCACAAAAATCACTTGAAATTTTAACAATTTTCACCGTATTACACCTCAGTCCTTCATCACATCCGAAGTATAGAGGACTTATTTTAATCGGGCAAAAATTATCAATCCAGATTTATCAAAATTAAGAGGTTTTATGCGTAATCCAGTCTGAAAAACTGGGCTTTGCAATTCTGTCCGTATGTCTGTGTGTCTGTGTGTGTGTGTGTGTCTGTCCGTGTGTAAACACAATAACTTGAGTACCGTTACAGGTAGGTTGATGAAATTTCATATATAATTATTTTATCAAAATCGTAGATCCGTATCAACTTTTGAGCGATTTCCGATAACCGGAAGTGGTACTTTTTCTACTTTGAATTTTTCAAAAGCCTATAACTTGAGTACTATTTCAGATAGATAAATGAAATTTCACATGTAAGTGTAAGATCTAGTCCTCTACCGTCTTTCAAATGTTGAGTAATTTCCGTTTACCGGAAGTACTAATTTACGCTACTTCCGATTTCTCAAAAAAACAAATGTAAATTTTTAAAGTACTAAAAAATATTGCGCACTATTATGCAAATTTTTTTATTTGGCGTTCACTTGGTGTGCAATCTTTTGTCTACGAGATTTTATTTAATTTTAAAAACTTTAAGTATTTAAAATGGATTAAAAATCATGTCTATATCCCAAGTTCTCATCCCCTGTTGTTTTATATAAGAATATTCGAGAAAGTTTAGGGGAGATCACTCCCGGTTTATTTAACTCTATTTAGGCTGCGGGATTAGCTCCTTGGTGGGCCTTGTCGGGTAAAGATCCTTGATTGCTTGTTCTGTAACGTAATCAATAGACTAACAACGATTAAATAGTATCATGTCAGTCTCACCGAATCAGTTCCTGCCATATAAAGACCTTCTGTTATGTTGCAGATATCTCTCTCATCCATGATGTTTTCTGAGGTCAGAGAGAGAAGAAAGTTTGGCTCTTCTGGGTCTAGAGTACCGGCCCTTTGCTTGTCTTCTACAGCTTTCTTAGCCCTAAGGATGTGTTGAGCTGAGTTTCTGAAAAACGATCAAGCAACTGAATGACTAAAATGAATTAATTTTGACGTTTAAATGCTTGACATTGTAAAATATCTTAAAATAATACACAAACTATTATCAAAGAAGATACAGACTTTTTCAGAATGTTGTAGGCTCTCTCATAGTCTCTATATGTTTTGTTCCGAAACCATTTGTGTAGAACGGAAGTGCCATTAAATGAATGGAGCAAGAGCACCAAGATATCTTTTGTGGCTTGAAGAAATTCAACGGCTTTTGCGTCGTCCGATCCAGATTTGTTAAGGAAACCAAGTCTCGCATTGAAGCATACGACTCCAATACCTGCAAGAGTAAAATACAAACATTGAATGTTTAGAGTTTAGATTTCCATCTACCTTAAAAAATACAACTCTGTAACCAAATATAAACCCTAGGGTTGGGTGTGTGTGTGGTAGGGGGGGGGGGTCTGCAGTTATCATTTTCAAAATGCTGACGCCTTTTTAGGAAATAGAATTTTAACCCAGTTTTGTTTAAAAGGCTGCATTAGCATCGTGTGTAAATTCATTACACATATTTATGGTGCAATGTCTTTAAGTTGGAAAACATTTGGATAAAAGAACAATTTTTTTTTTTAAATCTTTACTAAACCATATGACAGTCAATAAAAAAAAATATTCAGAATAACTAAAATTATCCTACAAACTATTACAATTTTGCTGAGATATTTTGTCTGAGATCATTTGTCCTGAGATCTTTTGTCCTGTCACCATATACATACATACATACATACATACACACACACACATATATAAATATATATATATATATATATATATATATATATATATATATATATATATATATATATATATATATATATATATATATATATGTGTGTGTGTGTGTGTGTGTGTGTGTTTGTGTGTGTTTGTGTGTGTTTGTGTGTGCGTTTGTGTGTATGTGCAATATAGAGTAATTTCATATACGTGTAATACGTGTAGCTTTGTACTTAATAAGAATAAACAAATCATTAATCTGTCGATGCTTAAAATGTTATCTATAATATAGCGCTGGTGGTAGTGTGCCAGTCAGTCATCATCAGTTTTTGCATTTTTGTTTGCATTGTGTTTGTTTTTTCTTTTGTGTTTGCTTGTAGCGTTTGTGTTTTTGTTTAAGTTTTTTTGCGTTTGCTATGTGTTTGCGTTGTGTTTGTGTTTTCTTTTGTTTTTTATATTTATGTTTTCTTTGTGTGTTTGAGCTGTGTTTGTGTTTGTGCTGTGTTTTTGTTTGCGTTGTGTTTGTGTTTTCTTTTGTGTTTGTGTTTAGTTTTTTTTTCTGTTCCCAAGTTGGTACATTTAAAAAAAAGATTCACCGTGGTGGAGCACGGGTATGCAGCTAGTATTTTATAATGCTACTAAAATAAAGAAATTACAATATAAATTGTTAGATATGTGCATACTTTCTGCAGCAAAACGGAAAAAGTAGTCCTGCATCTCTTCACCGTCCATCTTTTGAGTGGACAGGATGTGAACAAATTCATCCGCGACTTGGTTCTGTGGGGCGAGGTAGTGGTGTGCTGAGTCGGCTTTCATCAGACGTTTGTTGGCTGGTGTCCGCACTTTGTACCACTCTTCTCCGTTCCTTCAACATCCAAAATTTTATTTTTAAACAGAAGAACATTTACATTTTGTTTTTATCAGTAAAGCATTTTAAAAAATTGTTTTCAACAGTATAGTATTTTATGAATTGTTTTTGACAGTAGACCATTTAAAATTTTTTTTTATTTTTCAGCATATTAAAAATTAAATTGTTTTTAACAGAAGAACATTTTAAAATTGATATTAAACAATGCGTTGTGTCTTTTTAAACAATCCTAAACATTAAAAACGCAATAGCCCTAACACGAGGTTATTCGATGTTATTGTTAATCTGAACTTTTCTAAAACACCCATTGTGATTGTAAAAACAGAAAAACCTAAACACGTCGATGCAGTCTATGCTCAGTTTTAATTCTTAATAAATTTGGTTTATGTAACAACGTCAGGAACCAACATCTCAACACACATTTAAAATATACTTCTTGCATTTTAAAAAACTTTTTTTTGTCGTTAGGATTATAGCACTATAGTTATAGGCCTTCCAATAGCTGAACTAATTGTTAAGTTTGTTAAGCATCAAACCGATCATGGGTTAAACATGTCTAGTTTGTTTAGATGAGATTCAGTTTTTTGGTATTTTTGTGTTTCCAGAAATACAATTCTTGTCATTTAAGAAGAGTCGCTTTAGGCAACCATTTTCCGAATAGAAAGTGATCACACGGTAGGCGGGCGTGTTGAAGGTTTATAAAATGCCATACTTTGACCGCTATAACGATCACTTAACAAACAGAAACAAAAGTCGCCAGAAAAAAAAATTAATTTACTAGTTATACCGAACATTACAAATTTTCCAGAATGCAATACATGTATTTTTTAAACCAATTGCATTGTCATAAGCGAACGCTGGTACGGACTGTGTTGTCTTAAGAAGCATGGGCTTTAAGTAAAAAAATATCTGGGGTGAGGATAGCTTCTAAACTATAAGTTGTGCACATGCTTCATATTTAGAAAAAAAAAGAAAAAGCGTCTGATTCAAACCTTAAAACAATCATGTGTTTTCTTGTAAAAACCAACAATTACGTGTAAGTTTAAGTTTACTACGGTTCGTACAAGAAAATTTGGTGGACCCTATAAATCGGGCTCACCTGGCTTCTGCCTTTTCAGATTCCCCCCCCCCCCCCCAACCCCTTTATCCGATATAGCCTGGAGAAGTTTTAAAGTACATGAAAACGATGGTAAACTGTACTCTAAAATTTTGCATATTGAATAATATAACCAGATCTATATGTAACACGCGTATTAAAGTTAGATTACATTTTAGAAGTTAACTTACAATATGAAATGTCATCTAATACTAAACAGAGATTGCAAACTTTTTAGAACTGACTGTGAAAGTTTCTTTTCTGCTAAATCACTCTAGCCAACACACTTATACATAAGTAATATATCGGTATTATTTTTTTTTGTTTGTTAACTGAAACTCTACTAATATATTGTGGTTTAGGGGAGAGGGGTTCGGCTTAATTGTAAATTTAGGAGAGTGGGTGGGGTGTTACATTTGTAATAAAGTGTGAAGATAGGGTGAAGGGCGATATAAAGACCCACTACGTTGTATTTGTTCGGGTAAATCAAAGAATGTATTTTAACATGTCAGGTAAACACTTATATGCTCGGCATTATCATGAACTTACAGGGATGCCAGGGTCATCTTATGTCCGTTTCTCTCTGCGTAGACAATATCAAGGTCCGACGCTGGACGGTAGGGAAATTTGCCTTCGTTTCTAAATATAGTTTCCATGTCTTCTGGGCTGCTCGTCTGGACGGAGATCTTATCCAACCGATATTTGAATATAGGGCCGTATTTTCTGTGCATCTCTCGGTGTAGCAGGTGAATTGTTTCAGCAGTGTAAGGAGCTGGTGGAGAAACGATGTTAGACCTCGTCATTATACACACATGTGTACACAAGGACACGGAGATATATACACACGTTTGTCCACCATAGCACCTAGACATATACACACGTGTATACACGAGGACACGTAGATGTATACACATGTGTACATACGACACGAACACATGAATATACACGTACGAAAGGACACCAGCTTATGTGCAATAACTTTTAGGTCTATAATGTGGCATGAATACTCTCATTTATCTGTTCAAAATTGACCATTTATTTCATATCAATTGATGTGTTTTATAATGTTATATGAAATAAATATTAGTTACCTAGCCACTATCGGCTAGGCTTTGTTTCAGCCATTTTTAGCCATTTCTAAATATAATGCTAACGCAGATATGTTTGTTTAAAAACATTTTAAAAATTAAAGAGCTTGGTATAAAGCTGCATTTAAAACAGCCATTTATAAAATTTTAAGTTTCGCAAAAGATAATTACACTTTTTACACCTTTATCAGAAATATGTGCAAAGCCTAACCCCAAAATTGTTTGCGTATTTACCCACAAAAGTATACAGTTGAGTGCCGTGATTTAACATCTCATTAGGCCACGACACCTCTATATAATATTTGGGCATTGCATTCCCCATTCCCTCCCATGCACACAGAAACCACGACCAAATTTAACACTAAAACAATGTACCGCGAATAGCGTTGTTTCAAAGACTTATGTTACAATTTAACACCATTATATATTTCAATTAGATATAAATGATGTCATTAGATTTTATTGATATTCTAGATAGCAGAAGTTTAGTTAATTAAAATCAATGGGGAAAGCATCGCTCTTTACCACTCTATACTAGGCATTTTACTAAGTTTTAAAATTTGCATTAAATAACAACTTGCAGGTTTTACAGTGAAAAATTACGAATATCTATTTAACAGTAGAAGACCTTAGTAGTATATTAGGTCCCTTTTTGTTAGCATGGGGGATACGGATGCGGAGGTGGAAGTGGAGGTGGAACAAAGGATATATAGGAAAATACTCCCCGCCTGGGGGATGCGGAGGGACAATGACATATAGCAAAATACTCCGCATCCTGGTGGAGGCGGGTGAGCCGGAGGGACAATGAGATATAGTAAAATACTCCCTGGGGGAGGTGGAGGGACAACGAGATATAGTAAAATACTCCCCCACCTGGGGGGGGGGGGGATGCGGGTGTGGTGGGGGAGTAGGTCAGTGACGTAATCAGCGACCTTGTGACGTAATTAGTGACCTTGTGACGTAATCAGTTACCTAGTTACGTAATTTTAATGAGTTTTTTTAATTAGTTTGATTTTTTAAATTTTTAAATTTAAAATTTTATTAACGAGTTACGTAATTTGATTATTTGTTTGATTTTAATACCCAGGGAGTATTTTACTATATCTCATTGTCCCTCCTGCTCACCCGCCTCCACCAGGATGCGGAGTATTTTGCTATATGTCATTGTCCCTCCGCATCCCCCAGGCGGGGAGTATTTTCCTATATATCCTTTGTTCCACCTCCACCTCCGCATCCGCTTCCCCCATGCTAACCAAAAGGGACCTAATATACTACTGACCTTACGTCGAAACTGTTTTCATTTCACATTATTAGAGTTTTATCACTAATTGTTTTGTGCCAAATAACCTCTTTAATTATTTAATAGCAGTGTTGAAATAACTTTGCAATATTAAAAAAATAAAGTAAATACCCTTGTGCCTCAGAAAAGACACACTAAAATCATTAATAATTGGCATTGTTTATATGTGATTTATTTGCTTTTTTACAGAAGCAATGAAGCGGATAATTATTATTAAGCATTTTGAAAACCGTTTAACATAAATTTTTATTGAACTTTTTTCTATTCCAGATGTTTTTTTTTTGTTGTTTTTTTTTGCGTGCAGTCAAAGTACGGTGAAAACTAAAAGTTTGAATTCTAGACGCAGTTAAGCCCCTTAGGTAAAACAGAGCGGTAAAGTAGGTCAATGTTCAAACCCTATATATAACATTTCTGAGATTTTGGTATTTTTCCAGGTATCTTGGGTCTTTCCTTGTCAAATATTAAGTTAGTTTTTCATCTGCAAGTGGTCGATCTAATTTTGAAAAAATATATAGTCAGACTAGATCAGTTTTTGGTCACCTTAAACGCTATTGTTCAGATCGCTATAGTTTTTCTGTTAGAATGAGGTTGAATATCTTTTTTTTTTGTACCTCTGAAACTTTCCCACAAATACCCGATCTAATTGATGTAAGGAATAGCGTGACAGACGTGCATCCCAAGATACCCTACTTTGCTTAGATATACATGAATGGTTTATAACGTAGCTATAAAATCAGTGTTAACTCACGGAGTGTTTTAGAATACAGCATAAAGCTTTGTGTATTCACTCAATAGCTTATAATGTAATATACAATATTTCAAATAACTGAAAGTTTTTTTAACGTATCATGAAATAAGTATGTACTAACTGAATAATTTTTAACGTATCATGAAATAAGTATGTACTAACTGAATAATTTATAACGTATCATGAAATAAGTATGTACTAACTGAATAATTTATAACGTATCATGAAATAAGTATGTACTCACTGAATAATGTATAACGTATCATGAAATAAGTATGTACTAACTGAATAATTTATAACGTATCATGAAATAAGTATGTACTAACTGAATAATTTATAACGTGTCATGAAATAAGTATGTACTAACTGAATAATTTATAACGTATCATGAAATAAGTATGTACTAACTGAATAATTTATAACATATCATGAAATAAGTATGTACTCACAGAATGGTTTATAATGCAGCATGAAATATGTATGTACTCACAGAATGGTTTATAATGCAGCATGAAATAAGTCTGTACTCACAGAATGGTTTATAATGCAGCATGAAATATGTATGTACTCACAGAATGGTTTATAATGCAGCATGAAATAAGTCTGTACTCACAGAATGGTTTATAATGCAGCATGAAATAAGTCTGTACTCACAGAATGGTTTATAATGCAGCATGAAATAAGTATGTACTCACAGAATGGTTTATAATGCAGCATGAAATAAGTATGTACTCACAGAATGGTTTATAATGCAGCATGATATAAGTATGTACTCACAGAATGGTTTATAATGCAGCATGAAATAAGTATGTACTCACAGAATGGTTTATAATGCAGCATGATATAAGTATGTACTCACAGAATGGTTTATAATGCAGCATGATATAAGTATGTACTCACAGAATGGTTTATAATGCAGCATGAAATATGTATGTACTCACAGAATGGTTTATAATGCAGCATGAAATAAGTATGTACTCACAGAATGGTTTATAATGCAGCATGAAATATGTATGTACTCACAGAATGGTTTATAATGCAGCATGAAATAAGTCTGTACTCACAGAATGGTTTATAATGCAGCATGATATAAGTCTGTACTCACAGAATGGTTTATAATGCAGCATGAAATAAGTATGTACTCACAGAATGGTTTATAATGCAGCATGAAATAAGTATGTACTCACAGAATGGTTTATAATGCAGCATGAAATAAGTCTGTACTCACAGAATGGTTTATAATGCAGCATGAAATAAGTCTGTACTCACAGAATGGTTTATAATGCAGCATGATACCAATATACGGCCACAAGTAAATGCCTCGTGGGCCGGGAATCTCTTGGAAGGGTCGGGCATTGACCTGCTCACTCCTCGTATCCACGGATACAGTGGACATCCAGTGTCGCCTGCACTGAGTACCGAGTGCCGCTTTTATCCATCTGTTTAGTGCTGCCATTTATTCAGAGTCTGTTGGATTAGGTTTACGTCATTTTAACAGGGTTAATCTGATTTTAACTTTTATTTATTTTAACATTTAGAAGTTAAACATAACCATTCAAAAATCATGGGTTAATTATGGAGCAATAACAAAATAGTTGAAATCGACCCTACTAAGGCAGAATACCTCATTTTGTGGACAGCTATTTAAACAAAAGAATGAACAGCGTAGCTACCAGCACTTGTTGCAAAGCAGGTGTTTTAGTGATCTTTTTATAGTGTGTATAGGTTTTTCGAAATACACAATTATATTAAATTCATAATTATATTAAATTTCTTATTAAAGAAACATGTTCACAAAACTCTGAATGTAAAACAGGAGCTTTAAGGAAATTTCCACACAAAAATGTAATCCGGGCTATTTAGAGATAATGGAAATATAAATTTACAAACCATGAGCTGTACCTAAACGTTGCAAACAATCAACACAACATTCCGCTTGTAAAGCTATACGTTGGTCCGGACTATTAAACATTACAAGTAGGCCTACACGCTCCTATAACTGTGAACTGCACCGAGCTATATATATAAATACGTCAGACGGTGTGGCGACCTTGACCCTTAAGTGCAGGGTGCTTTGACATAAGCCTCGTTATCAGGCACGTTCTGTGTTCCTGCTTACAACTAACGGTTCCAGTTTTAACACCATTTAACACTTTAAAAAAAACATCGCTTTTAAACACAGCCTTTTGGTACCAACATAAACGGCCAAAAATAGACTAGATATAACAATGTGTCTGCTACCTGCTACATAAAATTAATAACAATAAATAAACAACCGTTGTCGATGAAGTAATAATTTAAACAGGCTGAATGTAAGTTTCCTCGAGCGTATACAGATGTGAGATCCGCTACCGTGCAGGCTAAATCTACCGCTATATATTGACGCAATATGACCGTGTCTGTGTGCACGACGGTCTAACACACATTGTAGTGGTTGTACAGCGCTACAAACTGTGTCGTGTGTCTCTCAGCACGACGGTCTAACACACATTGTAGTGGTTGTATAGCGCTACAAACTGTGTCATGTGCCTCTCAGCACGACGGTCTAACACACATTGTAGGGGTTGTATAGCGCTACAAACTGTGTCGTGTGCCTCTCAGCACGACGGTCTAACACACATTGTAGTGGTTGTATAGCGCTACAAAATGTGTCATGTGCCTCTCAGCACGACGGTCTAACACACATTGTAGTGGTTGTATAGCGCTACAAAATGTGTCATGCGCCTCTCAGCACGACGGTCTAACACACATTGTAGTGGTTGTATAGCGCTACAAAATGTGTCATGTGCCTCTCAGCACGACGGTCTAACACACATTGTAGTGGTTGTATAGCGCTACAAACTTTGTCGCCACGCTTGAACTACTGTAAGGGTTTGTAATAACAAGCTTTTAAATGAAGTGAAAGTAAGAAAAACGAATGTGCATTCTTTAATAAAAGCGATGATCGCAAAAAATATGAAGAAACCAAAGCTGTTACTAAAAAAAACCAAGTTTCTTATAGGCCTATATATTTCAATTTTTTAAATATATTTCATTTTTTACTGTATTTAAAAGCTTATTATTATAATAGTTTATATTTGTTTTATTTTCTTTTTTTAGTTATTCGTTCTTTATAAAGTGGATGCCCCATTTTTCTACACTGTCTATGCAACATTAATTCGGTTAATTGATAATAGCAAAAATATTACTTTCTAGTCTATACTGTGACAGCGCCGGTATGAACTGTATTCAATGTTTACATTGTACCATTTGTAAATCTACACTTAAGGCATCGCTAGCGTGTTAAGCGTGCAGTAACAATAAATATTAAGATAAAAAAAATATACTTTTTTACTTTCTCGTATACGAAGTATATAGAGAGTATTGTAATCTGGAAAAACATAGTTTTGCAATTTTGTCCGTATGTCTGTGTGTGTATGAGTGTATGTGTGTGTGTATGTGTGTATGTGTGTGTGTGTGTATGTGTGTATGTGTGTGTTTATGTGTATGTGTGTCTGTAAACACATCGCCTAGCGTAGACTATCAGGTAACACGCAAATTCGCAGCACGAACTGCCAGTGTCGTGTCTAGGTTGGGTGTCATCCTGTGCGGCACTTCTTGGTGTCACCCCCCCACCAAGAAACAAAGTATATATATATATATATATATATATATATATATTTATATATATATATATATATATATATATATATATATATATATATATATATATATATATATATATATATATATATATATATACTTATGTGTGTGCGTGTGTGTGCGTGTGTGTGATTTTTGTGTCGTCCTACACAGGCCTATAATTTAAATATATGCCTTACACGTACATGTAAGTGTATAAGCTTTAATCACTGCAGACTTAATAGTAACGATGTTATCTATAACCTGTTAATACAGTTGGGTGTAGCATTGTTTTATCTATATAATGCCCTTTTACATAATGGTGTCACCCCACCCTCTTGTAATAACTGTCGATTTGTACATAAAAGACTATTTAACTTTAATTAATCATTAATGGGACTTCAAAAGCATTATTTATCCCTACATTTTGCTATTTTTTGTCATCCCACTAATTGGTGTCACCCGGTGCAATCCGCTGCCCCCCCCCCCCCTCCCCGCCCTCGCTACACCTGTGCGTGCTGTGTCTGTAAAATGACTAGACGTGCATCACTTTTACACTTTAAGCACTTTACTTTAAAAAAACTGAGCTTTTTTAAAGTTTCTATCTATGTCAAGACTTCAAGATTCTAAGATAGTGGATATCAAATTTGTTCATATATCTCAAGTGATAAAAAAGTTATGACGTTTTAAAAAGTTCGGTGTTTAATTTGTGTTCGACAGCCTAAATAGTACCATGTTTTTTTGTTGTTTTTTTTTTTTTTGGGGGGGGGGGGGGGGGGAATTCGGGGGGGGGGGGTATATCTGTAAAAGTATATGACACAATTCAATATTTTGAACTCAACACAAAGACACTTACTCAGAGAACAGACTCGTTTTCATAGCTCAAAATAAGTACATCATTTAAATTAATTACATTGAAATAGCCTTTTCTCACTTTTTGATAAAATTAGAAAGGGAAGTAAACAGCACATTTGTTTTTACATATTTAAACAATCTCCAAAAACTGTGTGAGTAAAAAGCATACTTTACAAGTATATCAAAATTTAGTGTAGCAATGCTTCTTTGAATTATGTAACAAGTATGCCTATAACAAGTACGTTTGAAACACACGTTTAATCAGAAGAGTGCAGGGCTTCAAAACCTGTAAAAAAAATAGATTTTGTTAAAAATATTTTTAAAAAATATAGTATTACACCTACAGCAGATCTGATTGTATCGAAATACAGAATACCGATAGCACTTAACAGGTAAACAGTCTGACCCGCCTGCCAAGTTTGAAAGAAATTAGTCGTTAATCAAGGCTTAACTTGAAAACAAGAATATAACAAACTTCCATAATCATTGAAATATATTATAAATAAATAAATAAATAAATAAATAAATATATATATATATATATATATATATATATATATATATATATATATATATATATATATATATATATATATATATATATATATATATATATACATATATATATACATATATATATACATATATATATATATATATATATATATATATATATATATATATATATATATATATATATATATATATATACTAGCCGTCCCGGCCAGGTCCTGCACTGGCATCTCTGAAAAACGTATCTGTAAAGGGCCATAACTTGTGTGTTTAGTAATCAGCATAAACACGGCATTGCCCACCCTAACCACAACCAAACTTAACACACAAAAAACGAAAACATAACACTAACACAAAACAAACACAAACGAAAGCACAAAAACAAACGCAAAGACAAACCCAACCACAAACACAAAGAAAACACAAACACTAACGCAAACAAAAAAGTAAACGAAAACAAATCCAAACGTAAACAAATGAAACCAAAACACACCAAAAAACAACGCAAACATAACACAAACACAAATACAAACACAAACGAAAACACAAAAACAAACGCAAACACAAACACAACCACAAACACAAAGAATATACAAACGCAAAGAAAAAAGCAACGAAAACACACACGCAAAGAAAAAAAGCAAAAGAAAACAAACCCAAAACCAAAATCAAACCCAAACGCAAACACAACCACAAACGCAAACCTAAACTCAAACACAAAGAAAACACAAACGCAAAGATAAACTCAAAGTGTCCACAGTCTAGCCTGGGGCGCCAAATCTCACCATGACGACGGCGGCGTAACCGCCTGATTCAACTTAGTAAACGACTATAGTACCCAACTTATTCATAGTCTTTTGAGCTCACTTACGCGAACGTAGGTACCATAGCAAACACGGGAAGGCCTGGGGCGCCAAATAGCACCCAGTCGGCGTGCCGGAGGACGCCCGGATTTGATTCACTTAAAGATTTTAGTAAAGTTTCTTATTTGTAGTCTATCGCACTGTTTAAAACGATAGTATGCACCATAGCGCTCACATGATAGCCCAGGGCGCCGAATCGAGCCGTGGAGGGGCGCCGGCGGACGCATCTGTTTTAATTTTGTGAACAAAATTATAATACTCCAAGCTTATCCGTAAATGGAAAGAATTAAACATATAGGATTTGTAGGACCTGGCTTATTAATTGTTATTGATTTTAAAAAAATATTAGTAAACAGTACGTTCAGTGTATGGAATAAATAAAAGGCCATATTAAAAATACCAACCACATTGCACTTAATCAATCCCCGCTAATTATATAATTATTTTCTTTTCCTAACACCAAAACAAAGTAATAAAAGTAAATTCTTTCTCCCCCGATTTAATGGTTCTTTTTAAGGGAAGTAACTGTGATTTCTAAATCAAATAACGTTATGAGAACTAAAGGACAAAATGCAAATACATTTCAGACACAATTTTAGAAATTTTATAAACGTTGATACACTTTTTTAAAAATTTTATGTAATGTTCATAAATAATTGAAAATTATTATTTTAAGTATATAAAATGAAAATTGATTTTAAAGACTTTCAATAGTAATTTTTTAACTCATAAATTTAGACCCTGAGTACTTCAATAATCTAACACTTGAATCCGTATATATATATATATATATATATATATATATATATATATATATATATATATATATATATATATATATATAATGTGTGTGTATAAATAGAACAGCTTTGCCATAAGCAATCGCAAAACAAAAGAACACACACACGAATGTTTGTGTAATAGTACTTTTAATAAGAAAATTCAATTAATTATCTAAAATTAATTATACATCAAATTAAGTCGTACGCGATGTAACTTTGCGTTATACGACCCGCCTGCCAAGTATGAAAGAAATAAGTCCGTTAATGAAGGCTTGATTCAGTAAAAAAACAGATAAACTCCCACACCATTGAAACTGAAAATACTATCAAAAAAAGGAAAATTTAAGCAGCTAAAGAATTTATTTATCACTTTAGCAAAATGGGACAAATAAATATTAGACATCGAAGTCGTAAATGTGGTAATCAAAATTTGGATTCAGGAATCACTAATTGACATGCTCAGCAAATGGGCGTGAAACTGGGTTTGCATATTAATTCCAAATAAAAATCAACGTATTCAATCTTCAAATTATCAACAAAACATCCAATTACGTAGTTAACGCTAGACAACTCAGTGTTAGAAAAAATGGCTACGCTAATTCCAACGGTTTCACTTTTGACACCCTGTTCACTTGGAAAATTGAAAACAGCAAAATAATCAAACGATATACGAGGAAACTTGCAGGCACTGGGGAGCTAATCATTACAAAATCTACATCAGCTATTTCGGACAAATTTTATAATATGGTTCTTTAGATTACAAAATCTACACCAGCTATATCGGACATATTTTATAATATGGTGCTTTAGCTTGAGGCTTAGCATCTAAAACAAATGTTATCAGTATCTACAGTACAGAACACTGGACTTAGAATAATGAATGAGCTATTAAAAACAAACCGATAATAGCAATGGAGGAAACAACTGCTCCAATCTCAATAGGAGAAAGAATAAAAAAATCCTCACCCAATACAACTGGAGGCTCTGGATAAATCTAAAGTAGAAACAAAAATCCTCACCCAATACATACAACTGGAGGCTCTGGATAAATCTAAAATAGAAACTCAAGAAATGAGATCGCTGACCAGCTGGCAAAAAGTGGGGATAAGAAAATGACAACCAGAAATTTCTCTACATCCAAAAGAAATCAAAAGTATCATAAAAAGCAAGCAATCTCACATATGGTCTGAGTCACACCCAAAGTACAAAAAGACGATGGATTTTACAAAAACGCCAAGAACAACATAACATTGCCAGACTCAGAACCGGTCCAAATAAGTTCAAACAGCAACTGTTTAAAACCAGCCAAAATAAGTTCAAACAGCAACTGTTTAAAACCAGCCAAAATACGTTCTAACAGCAACTGTTTAAAATCAGTCAAAATAAGTTCAAACAGCAACTGTTTAAAATCAGTCAAAATAAGTTCAAACAGCAACTATTTAAAACAACCCAAATAAGTTCAAACAGCAACTGTTTAAAACCAGCCAAAATAAGTTCAAACAGCAACTATTTAAAACAACCCAAATAAGTTCAAACAGCAACTGTTTAAAACCAGCCAAAATAAGTTCAAACAGCAACTGTTTAAAGCCGGGCAAAATAAGTTCAAACAGCAACCGTATAAAAAAAAAGTTGGTCCAGACTAAACTTGCCTTTGTGGCCCCGGAGATAGCAAATCAACCATGATTTCAATATGTTTATGGAAATTGTGTAGTCATGCCTGATGAATTGCTCAACATTTTGCTTTTAGAGTCTAACTGAACGGATACAAGTATAGTAGTCAGTTGATAGATAGACGGATCAAAGGTTTTG